ATTATAAAATATAAATTAAATCTAATATTAATATGTTATAATTAAAATTATTATTTATCTTAATATATAGTTATTATATAGCTTTTAAAATAATATATATAAGAAATAAACTTTATTCTATAATAATACTTAATTTTATTATATTATTAGAAAGATAAGATAAATAAGTAATAATAGCAGTATTTAATAGCCCGCACGACTCTAAACGTTCTTAGACACTCCTGGGGCAATGGTTTCCAGCTTCTCTAACAGCTCCTCATATAGCGCAGTCTGGATCTTTATGCCAATCTTGTTCGTGACGTGGCAAGCGGGGCTGCGGCCAAGTTAGCTTAGAGGAAACTGGCATGTCATTCAAGTATGACTTACTCGCGAACTTGACAATTATTCATATACTGACCATTGCTTTCTTGGCCAGCCAAGACTCCAGCAACAAGTGCACGGCTTCCCATTTCTGTCGATCGAGCCAAAAAGTCGGGCGGCGCAACATCTTGCTTCTCTCGCATGAGACCAGATATGCAGTAGCTTGGATTCGGCGCGTTGATGATCACGTTTGACTTTTCGGTGGCTGTAAGACGAGATGCGATCTCACGAGTGATGTAAAGAACTATAAGCTTGCTGACGTAGTACCGAGATTCCATAATGGACTTTTCGGGGTCGTTGAGTCGTGAGAAGATCTTTCCCGCTTTCTCGTCGGGGATCAACTCTTTGATGGGAGCCCAGTAATGTGTTGCTGAGTTGGGAATGACGAATTTGCCGGGGTATGATGACTTTTGTAGCTTGGGGAGCAGGAGAAATAAGAGGAGAAAAGTAGAGATGACGTTGACTGTAATTGTTCTCTCGTTATCCTCAGCTGTCGAGAACTCAAAAGAAGTTGCGAGACCCGCATTGGCCAAGACGACGTCAATGGCAGGCAGCTCAGCAATAGCCCGAGCCGAAAATGCCTTGACAGATTCGTAGCTGGCCATATCCAGATGCCAAACTTCGATTGACTCTGGAGATCGCTTCGTTGACTTGAGTAGCTCCTTTCGTGCTGTTTCACCCTTGTCAAGGCTGCGGACAGCCATGATGAGTTTACCAACCCCAAGGCGGAGAAGATGTTGGCTAGCCTCAAAGCCAAGACCAGTGTTGGAGCCAGTGACTATCATGATTTTGTCGGACAAGTCATCTTTTGTCTCGGGGTATGGAAGGTTGATGAAGAGGTTGGAGTAGATGGTACCAGTGATACCGTAGAGACTTGAGGCGATTGACATGACTGCAGTAAATGTGAGGAGTAATAGGACAATTGTAAATGCTTAGGATAATATATCGATGTGAGTAATTGAGAATGATACGGGAGAATATTAAATGGCCATTGTCGTTCTTATATATCGTACATGGCTTACGAAAACTCCATGTATAAAGCGGGCTTAATATCTCCGCTTACACAAACAACCAATCACAAGACGGCGGGGTTATTAAATCCGCCCCGTCCCTGATCTCCGTCATCATTGCTTATCTCCCTTCATCAACAGCACATTCCTTCAACAAGTATCAAAACTGGTACAAATCATGATTGGAGCAGGTGAGCTTACACAAGAGACGAAATTCTTGCCTGAATACAGACCTTGACTTTTTTTTTAGCCAAGGTTGAGAAGCGGAATCGACCGCCCAAGTCCTGTGAGCCCTGTCGGACACGAAAGTAAGCCTCAGTCCTGGTGAGACGGATTATGACACTGACCGGGCTAGGTTGAAATGCAACAGAAACCAGCCTTGCGATTCGTGCATCAGGAGAAACAAGCAATCGCTCTGTCATTATGCTTCCAATGCCGATAGACACGATAAACGCGCCGATAGAAATGAATCGGTTGCTGATCGGCTCAAGAACCTAGAGAGTCTGATCGCCACGGCGGCTCAAAACACACAGACACCAAACCCTGCATCTTCTGCATATACCAATGAGAACGCATCTCAGAAGCAACCAGCCAGCGATAATATCCCGCTTTCCGATGTCTCCAGACCAGAGACTGTCGTTAGTACTGCTGACACCATCTCGAGTGGTCTTGTCGGTCAAGTTGACTCAAGTCACTGGTCCTCCATGCTTGAGAACATCAGAGCCATTCGCGATGATTTACCTGCTGAGAGCCCAAACACCTCAAATATCAGCTCGACTACCCTGAACAATGACGTCTTGATGAATGAGGCCAACTTCGATTTGGGTTCGCCTGATGGCCTGACACTTGAGCATATCCTATCAGCCGTGCCGCCACGACAGGTCTGCGATACACTTGTGTCTGTGTTCTTCCTGTCACATTACACTATGATGCGTAAGCCAGTCTGACATGCGATGCACGACTTGACTAAAGCTTACTCGTGTTGCGATAGCCATTCTGCATCCTACAAAGTTCCAACATGAGGTTAGTCTTCACGTGCGAGCTCGGAATCTCACTAACACCGCCTTAGTACGAATCATTCTGGGAGTCGCCATCACAAACATCACCTGTTTGGATAGCACTGCTCTTGGCTCTCCTCAGTCTATCGGCTGGCGTCTACGAAATCTCAGGCATGGCCCGCTCTTCCCAATTCCCTATCCCCTCCAGCAAAGCTCTCTCCAAGAAGACTCAAGAATGTCTTCTCTTGAGCAACTACACCGCAGCCAATGAACATGCCGTTGAAGCCTTCCTTCTTCTTCTCGTTGGATGCTGGCTCCGTGCCAAAGTCTCTGATACTAACCTCTGGTTCCTCATGGGCAGGGTCGTGCAACTTGCGATTTGCAAGGGCTATCATCGAGATTCGACAAAGGTACCAGGGTCCAGAATCTCCCCGTTCGACGGTGAGATGAGGAGAAGAGTTTGGGTCTGTTTATACCAGCTTGATTCTCTCATGTCATTCCAGATGGGTCTGCCAAGCATGATACCATCAGACTTCTGCGATACAGAGTTACCGAGGAATCTGAAGCAGTCCGACTTTTATCCTGGTATCGCGGAACTACCTCCGCCTAGGCCCCTCTCTGAGACTACGACTATGTCATATGCTATCGTCAAAGCTTCTGTGATGGGGATGTTCAAGAAGGTAGTCAAGCATACTCGATACGTTACCCCACTGTCCTATGAAGAGACAATCTCACTAGACGCCGAGGTCAGGGCTACCTATGACAAGATACCCCATAACTTCAAGTACAAGCCTCTCACTAGCTTCATTGTCGACGAAATCAGCATCATAATGAGCAGAACTACCATAGAGCTACTTTACCTCAAGAGTATCATCGTTCTTCATCGGCAATACCTGACAGATCGGCAAGACAGCAGGTTTGCGTTCTCAAGAAAGGCATCCCTCGAAGCGGCGGAAAAGTTACTCGAGAGACAGGCTGAGATAAACCAGCTTACTTTACCAGGTGGTTTGCTACATGATAAGAAGTGGATGATAACTTCGTTGACACTGAGTGACTTTACTCTGGCTGCTATGGTTATTTGCTTGGATCTTACTGTTGCTATACGAAATAGTATGAGAATGGGAACCAATACGGAGGAGGAAGAACTTCGCAAGAATTTGAAGATTATCGAAAAGGCCCATGGAATATGGTCCAGTTCGTCAGAGAATTCGGAGGGACGAATAGTTTCGCACGCTCTGGACTCGACTATCCGGCGCGTAAAGGACTTCATCAACACATCATCAGCTGCAACGACTACTCTCGGCTGGTCAGCTTCTACAGCAGAGACAGAGACACCTGACTATATAATGAACAATTTCGACATGATTGATAGCATCGACTGGGTAGGTCCTAAGACCATATTTCGTATCATGCATATTAACAGTTTCTGCAGAGCCTTCTGGATAATCAGATCCAAGATCCCAGCAGCATTCAAGACTTTGATCTAGATATGTGGCTTATGGACACGGCTGGACCTCTGGAATCATTGTAATTAGTATCTAACGGCGGTTTACCCGACAAGTAGCGTTGCTAAAGGATTCTTGATTGGGATTTGAGGGATGCATAGCCGATATTGTGGCTTACGGCTGAAGACTAAGAAAGGGGAGGATCTCAGCACCTGCAAGCCAATTGACCGCGTATCTTGGAGAGCGGACGGCCCGAAGCCCTCCCTTCTCAGCCGTTCACTTGTTTCGGGCTATCGAGGGCCAAGCTGAATGCCATACCAGAAAGTCTGTGGCAAGGAATAGTCCACGTATCAAGATATTTCGCCACTATATAACCAAGCCGAGGCCTCGGATATTCTTCAGGTCAATAAATTGAATAAGACTCTTGGAATATATCATTGGCTCATTCTTGGAGCTAGATATGCATGTCTTACTGACATCAATGATAATCACCCCTATTCGTCCAATGTGGCTGATATGGCTTGAGCTGAGCTGATACCCCGGCTGGCTGAACGCGTGCCAGCCAAAGCTAGGGAGTCGACACGCGATTCACAACAATTGGTTTCAAATAGTTGAGAACAAACATTAGAAAGCCATTTGACTAGATATCGGGATCAAGTTCACTCATCGCTGATGATTCTATGGCAATATCGAAGGTCAATTAGCCGCCTTTACAAATGGTGAGCTATCTGTTTTCTGAAACAATCCCAGCGGATGCGCCTCGAAACAGGTCAATCTAAAGCACGAACGCTCAACTTCCCCAGATTCAACACGGCACGGCGCGTCTCTCAAATCTAGCCACATGCCTTATCTCCCTCGTGGCGAGCTGACTTTCAGCGTGGCGTTGAATCACATATTGAAACATGGCCCAAATCTAGATCCACTAGTCCACGTTCTATCACATTGTGGCTCACCCGAACCCCAGCTGAAAATAAGGGTCTCGGCCCAAGCTCATTCTAGGGATAGCCAGTCCATGTAATGAAGCCCTCAAAGGTGTGATATGCCAATCGAGGTAAGATATCGGGGTGATATGGCTGACCTGGTGGAAATGAACTCCAGGGCGTTACATTTGGGGCTTCGGGCTGTCTCACTGTCCAGCTCTCCTCAAACCACTAGTTCATCCAGGCCACTACCCTGTTCATGGAGAGCGAGGCCTTTCAGTGATGACAGATAAACCCTGCATCACTAACTATATCTCCCGCCATGGTCCTCGCTTCAATGCCATCCTCGAAGGCAGTTCTCATGTTCGCAGACATCTTCTTCAACCGCGAAACAGAAACAATGCTCAGCCAAGCCAAACGTACATTTCCCCTTCCCCCAGTCCCATTCTCACTAACAATCTCTAGTTCACCAGCTGGAGTCCGCTCCCTCAAACGTCAAGTCCAACTGGCTCACCACCGTGCAAACACGTCCTGTCCGCTCTGGCTCCGTGTCCTCAGACGACGAGCCCACCGAGAGTATAATCCACCACCATGACACTGAATCCATCGTCGCGCCCGCTCGCTCTTCGAGCTTTGAGTATGGCACCGGTACTACAACCGTTCTCTCGCACCGTGACTTCTCCAGCGCGACGACACGTCATGCTTCACGAGCTATGAGTATAATCTCCAAGCGAGACTATTCCTTCTCGTCTTCCTCTTATGCTAGCGAGTTATACGACACGCAAGCTATTTGGAAACATGGAGTAGACTATGAAGGAATCTCGTTTGAGCTTGACTCGCATATGCAGCGTGCTATTGATCGGTATGCCCGTGTTTGCGGTAAACCTCTTGACTTTGGCCGCTCTGTTACCTCAAAGGAGTTTCTTGCTATGGCTACGAACGAGAGACTGCGATATATGCCTGAGAAGGGCAGTCGTCTTGACAAGACCCTCAAGAAAGCTGAGGCTTTTGCCAAGAAGTTTGACAAGATCATGACAGCGATCAAGATGATTGAGGTATCGACTTATGATAGCTCTGCTCTTGTTCTCTCGTCGTGCAAGACACTTCTTGGGTTTGCAGGCAAGTATGGGTTTGCTGTTGAGCGGTTCTTTACTGTTCTTGATGATGCGATGGGGACGGTTGTCAAGATGGTTGAGAAGTTGGAAGCGAGCCATGCTTCGCACAGAGTTTCTTCCATCTTCCAATCATCCCTTGCTATGATCGTTGACATTGTTGTTGACATCACTGCCTCTTTTGGTACGCATCGCTCTGGAAGTGAGAAGACCATCGTCGCTCAGTTTGAGTCTCGCTTTGAGATCATCATGGTCAGACTCAAGCAGCTCAAGGCAGAGTTTCACTTGTGTCATCTCAACCACTGGCTCGAATGTCACGGATCCGTTGAGTCACTCCTTATCATCCTCCGTGGCTTCGGCGACTTTGGTCTTGACTCTTGTCCCCCAGCCTACATCTCCATCCTCATGAAAGTCTGCCTTTCTCTTCACAAGTCACACGGCGAACACGCCGAGACACTCACTTGGTTCCGCTTCTTGTGGAACTCAATTGAGAAGCATCGTCATGAGCATGAGATCATCAGCTCTGAGCAGTGGTTCGAGGTTTATCAAGAGTACCTCATCATTCTTGGTGTTCATGAGCAACATACGGAGCGCCTTCATCTGGCTGAGAGCTTTAGAGCTGTCATCCTTGCTGACTTTGGTGCTACGCATGCGTACTACATTCGTGCAAGCATTGAGTTCGCCAAGATCCTTGAGATTGACACGGTTCGATACGTTGAGGCTGTCTCTATCTACGAGGAACTCTGCCAGTTCGACATTCACTGCTGTGAAGAAGGCGACTCCATCGTCGCTCTCCTCGAGATCGCCAAGTATCGCCTCTCAGTCCTCTTCGAATCCCACTGCGATCTCGGCCATCGCGCTGAAACCCTCCTCATCGACTCCTTCGTCTCTCTCAAGTGGGAACTCTCCTACTCCCACGAGAAGGTATTGGTAGCACTTACCCGCATCGTCGACTACCATCGCAAGCAGAAGCGTCGTGAGAGCATCAGCGTTGCCATCAAGGTCATCGAGGAGTACATCGTCGGTCTTCTCATCGAAGAGCGCAATGAGATTGTCCTCTTTGACATTGCTCGAAGCTTGGCCAAGATGTATCGTGAGTTATCTTCTGTGGAGTTTGGTATCAAGTTCATCCAGACTCTCAAGGAAGAGGTCCTCATGGGCGAGAAGTCTAGTGTTGAGGGCTTCTGTGGCTTCGGTCATGAAGATCGTCTTGCGCATCTCGATCGACGTTGCTTCATCTTCATCCACGCCTTTGAGCAACTTCTTTGCGGGTATGAACGCGAGAACATGCTCGACATCATCATCCGCGATGTCTACACCGAGACCTGTCTGTACGAAGCATGGTCCATCTCCGTCAGAACCTCCAGCCGTCCTATCCATGTGCGTCTCGCAGCTGGTGCTCGTCTCATCGCCTTCCTCGAAGTCAAGGGCCGACAGACTGAGGTGCGAAAGCTCCGTACAGACATGTGGGAGATGTTCAAGGGCTTCTGCTCAACATCTGTCTCTTCTGAGCTACTCTGGCAGCTTTTCGAGTTGACTCTTTCCAACGTCAATAAGAAGGTCGTTCATATTGACATTCTCGAGCGCTTGGTCGAAGTCGGTCTGCAAGTCTACAAGGCTAAGGACTTCAAGGTTTCGCTTCAATTGTTGAAGTGGTCGCAGGTTTACTTCCGACAACTCACCAAGACGAAGCACTCTCATGTTGTCAAACTTGCCTTCAAGATCTCAGAGTCCTTCTCGCGTCGTCATACCCACGACCACGATCATATCATTATTGAGCTCCAGCAGATCTCATCTGAGATTCTCGTCGAAGTCCTAAAGGTCGGTCGTCTCGACATTGACTTTGGCACCATTCCTTTTGACCAACTGAACGTCATCATTCGTCTTCTTGGCGAGAGGAAGAACTTCTCCATGCTTGAGCGTATTCTCCAGTATCTCTGGGATACACGGATGAGCCGCAACTGGTCCGGTGCTGCGACTGTTGCTACTGGCCGTCGACTCTGCGAGGTCAAGTTCGCTGCTGGTCATCAATCAGCTGCCATGTCTCTCATCGAGAGTATTTGTTACAACCTTCGCGACGTCTACGGTTCTCTTCACTATCTTACAGTCGACTGTGAGACTCTCCGCGCCAGCTTCCACAACACTTGTGGCAACCACAGAGCTGCACGCGACATCCACGTTCATCTTCTCGAGCAAATCGGCAATATGGACAGCGATGCCATTTCAGGCCGTGATGATCTCGCTGAGTTGGTCACTGACCAGGCTAAGCGGTTGAAGTGGGCTCATCACAGCCACCAGAGTAAGGCTGGTGAGGACGACAAGGATGAGTCGTTCTACCTGTCGATTCTTCGAAATGCGCAGAGTTCAGTTGGTAGCCATCACCGAGTCGAGTCGGCGTCTTTTGGGGATGCTTTCAAGTTGGATGGCGAGAAGATGGAGACCAAGTGGAAGCATCCTGAGAACTGGAGCTTGCCTGTTCGAGAGGTTCTGTAAGCGCTATTTGAGGCCTATCGGGTTTGGCGCAAGGGTTTTCTTTTTACAAACGTGTAACATTCAGTCATTCAACTTTCATTTGTTCTTTAGCTTCCAGTATTTCTATAATTGACCTATGAACTTATTTTTCCCGTCTGCCTGTTTACTTTGACCATTACTGGCTCTTCTGTCCGCATTGCTCATCCAACCTGGTCTATTTGTGAAATTTTATGTAGTGTTGAGTCACCATTTTAATGGTACTGCTTCTCTTGAGTGTGTAGTCTAATCACTCTTGACCTGCTTCAACCTCTCCTCCATCTGCTCCCTCGGACTCTTCAAATTAACCTCCGGAAATCTCGGGTCCTTCGTCCAAGGCATAACATCAGCCCCTTCCAACAGCCACTTCAACGTAGCCTTCTCATACTTATCCACCAACTCCTTGTAGTCCGGGTCTTCAGCCAGATTATGAAGCTCATGAGGATCGTTATGTCGATGATACAGCTCGGCTGGTTCATAAAGTCGGTACACATAAGTCCAGTTCTCATCACGCAGTGAGATCGCTTTTCCAACTAAAGTCGTGTCTTCATGTTGAAGGCCGGCTTTGAGATCATATGGATATGGCGCTTGTTCGAGAATGGGCTCCTCGGATGTCAAGAAACCACCTTCGGAGAAAGAGTACTGTTTGTGTGTTTTGGCGTCGCCGCACAAGAGAGGGATCCATGACAGACCGTTATGGGAAAACGACTCTCCGATACCAGATGTCTCCAGCATCGTCGGTACCAAGTCCACCATTTCCGTCATTGCGTCAATCCTCTTTCCTTCTGGCAGTCCCGCGCCACCAATGATGAGAGGCTCGTGTACCAGAGTCTCAGAGAGACCGGAAGGCCACTTTTCAATGAGTCCATGGTCACCCAGATATTCTCCATGGTCGGTGAAGAACATCGTGACAGTGTCTTTCCAGATACCAAGCTCATTGACCTTCTTGAGAACTCTACCGAACTGATCATCCAGTCGTGTGATCATACCATAGTAGGTCGCCTTGATCTCCCTCCAAATCTCATCCGTCGCACGATGCGTACCATACTTCTCCCGAATCGACTTCATATACCGAGGCTCATACCCCGTCTTCTTTTCAACCGTCGCTTCAACACTAGAGACTTTAGCCCGATCATACATCGAAAAGTACGGCTCCTCAACTTGGAACGGACAGTGCGGAAAGATGAGAGGCATAAACAGAACCCATGGCTTATCCGTAGGCGGACAGTCCAACCACGTCAAAGCAGATCTCACAACAGCTTCATCATAGTCCAAAGCCTTATCTGCATCTCTCAATCCACGATAGAACAATCGTCCCCAAATACTCTCATCAGCTTCTCGTCCGCCACCAGCAAATTTTGGCGTAAACTCTGGTGTTTCAAGGAACCCGTATTCACTGAGACTCAGCTCCGTGACAGTTGGTGCAAAAGTGTCGCCTCGTGGTGCAAGACACGCCACGTGATAGCCTGACTCCTTCAAACTTCGAAAGATGTTTGGTTCCCATGGCTTGATGAGGTTCTCGAGACTTCGATGACCGCTGACGTGAGGGTATGTTCCTGTAAACATACTACATCTCGACTGCGAACACACAGAAGCTTGCGTGAAACAATTGTTGAAGAGACTCCCCCTCGCAGCGAATGCATCGATATTCGGAGTCTTGATCTCAGAATCGGGACCAGTTGTGCACCCAAGAGAGTCATATCTCAACTGGTCAGGCATAAAAATGATGTAATTTGGCCTATTCCCGCCATTTTTCGAATCAACCTTCAAAGGTAATGGTTTCGGGGGAAGGCTATGCGATTGCGACATTGTGAATTGTTATGATCAAGAAATTCAAGCCTTCAATGCTGAGTTTGTAGTCGTAGTTATCTAGTCATGAGCTAACACCCTCGCGTAACTTAGCTTCGGATCTCGTTCCGGATCTCGCCCCCTCGTCATCCAACCTCGGGCTGACGTGCTTTGAAACGGTGCTATGTAAAGACCTAACAAACCTCACTCCTCACTCGAAGAAAGGAACTCGCTCGGATCTCGTACAATGGAAAGATCATCCCCGCAACTCGCGTGTAAACAATGTCGCGCGAGAAAGGTTCGTGCTCTTGGACAGTTTGCGGGGTTCTCCACTAATCTAGGTCATCAGGTTAAATGCGATCGACGAATCACGGGGTGTATACGCTGTGAGCGGTTGGAATTGACGTGTAGTTATGTTGCGGGGGATACGATTGAGGTGTTGGGTGGTCGTGGACAGGAGTTGACGCAGGCGGGTATCAAGAGGCGGAGGATACTGAGAGCTTGTGCGGCTTGTCGGAGTGCCAAGTCAAAGTGTTCGGGGACATTTCCTTGTAACCGATGTAAGTCACAAGGGCAGGATTGTGTATTCGGCGATGATCAGGGTAGTTCTAGTGTCGACGTCGGTATCGAGGTACAGACTTCGCCGGCGAGTACGTCCCAGTCTCACTATGGATCGGTACACAGTCAGACATCGCCAATGGACATCTCTGCCACTGTGGCCGGCGATACACAGCGGTATGTTCCGACTCCTGTACATGTCTGCCTCCAGCTAACTGTCAGCGAGGTTCTTCGAGCTTGAGAGTCGAGATACCATTCGTCAATATCTGGACACATACTTTGACAAGTCAGACATTGCGGACTGTGTCTTTCTCCATAGAGCTACAACAATCGCAGAATGGAGTCAGGGCAAACTCGAAAAGACCTTGCTCAAAGCTATCTGCGCTTCAGCACTACGACTTGCGCCGGCATATCACTCGGAGAGCTCGCCAGCGCATACCTGGATGAAGCAAGTTCAGCATGAGTTGGTCAATCACATGGGCGACATGTCAGTACCAATGCTTCAAGCCCTCATGTTGGTCATCAAATTTCTGTTCTCGATGCGATTCACCGGAGATGTCTGGGTTCTCCTCTCAATTGCGTCAAGAGTCGCATTTACAAAGAGGCTAAACTACGAACGTCCAGCTATCGATCCAGTTAAACAAGAGTGTCTTCGGCGATTGATGTGGTCGATATATGTTGTTGACAAAATATTCTCTGGTGGTATTGAGGATCTGACTGTTTGTCCCACGCAAAGAATGCATATCCGCTTACCGAGCAGTCATCACAACTTCCAACTTGGTTCAAGATCAAAAGCGCCGTTCTTACGGAGTAAGAATGAGAGCGACACGGACTTGAACGTGTTGGCGTACTTGATGCGGCTATACGACATTCGAGATAGAGTTTTGAGGTAAGATGCTTATCCTTCACGAAGGCTCTTGCTGACAGGCCAAGATACACCAGACAGGTCATCCTCAGTGGGACTAGTCCATATCTCAGCAGGGGCCAGTTGCGTTCACTAGATCTGGAGTTGACATCTTTTGAAGAGTCACTGCCAGATGAGCTACAACTCAACGAAAACAGGCTGATGATTATGTGTCACTCCGAGGAAGCACGCACATATACGACATTGCATACCATGTTGTTCAGTTCTCGCTGCGACCTCCACCGGTTCCTTATCCCCGGTATCCGAGAGGCGGTATCACCAGAAGCAGTGAACCAGACACCAAGAGGGTACATTGACTACTGTCAGCAACAGTGCTTACAGACTGCACTAAGATACATAGACATGTGGTCCAAGGTTCGGCAGATGGAGACGAGTAGCCGTATCGGGACACCGACATTCGCCGTAGTGACTTACCAATTCGTCAAGATGGTTGATCATCTGGCCGCTCTACTGCCATTACACGGGGAGTCATCATTACCGGCGATCAAGCAGAAGTTTATGGATATCCTGCTCATTGTTTCGGGGAGCCGAGCTGAAGTTGGGTGGATTGGTTCATGCGTGAGTATCTGGCTAGTCTCTAGTGTAAGGAAGGCTGACCAAGGTGTAGATTACGGACATCGAGAACCTCATACCACGACTGGGGACAAGGCACATATCACCCGACTCACCGTACGTCAATTTCATCATCACTCTAGTGACTTGGCTGATCAATACTCTAGTAGCGCTTCGCCGGGGACTCTTCGCTTACAGGAAAAGCTGCACCGTCGTTCGAAGCATGCCTTTGCTCCAGATGACGAAGAGGAGGAAGACCCCGCTATCCGACCACCAGAGTCGAATACTGGCGAAGTTATACCGGAGACTTCCCTTGAGTCCGCAGTGCTCGAGAGCGCTGCAGGGCAGGATATTTGGTCTTTTCCAGTTCAAGGCGATGAACAGGGTTTGACTGGGTCGACGGGTGACGGATCATTAGGCTCATTCTCATCGATGGGGTATCCTCTCATCAACTATGACTCGATCAACTCGGCTGACATGGTGTTTGGGGACCAAGAACTCGGGTTTCCATTGGATCCGTTTGACCTGCAGATGAATGCTTATACTGATGCTAATGCACCTCAATATTAAGTAGCTAGTTGGCAATCTCGATACAGGCTACCAAGGCCTTCACTGTCCCGCATTCCTTGTCCCACGTACATCAATGACCTAGACTCGCTGCTCAGCTGTCAAGGTATTATTCTTCCCATCCGAGTGCACTTTGCCCAGGCCATCTTCCTCCTGTGTAGCCCGCATCATCTCCGCCGCATCAACCTTTCCAAACTGTCGGATCGGAACACCCTGATTGAACAGGAAGTCGACCTGCTCTAGTGTCTTACCCTTGCACTCAGGGACACAGAAGTATACAAAGACAAGAGCAGTAGCCATGATTCCTCCAAATATGAAGCCGACTTTACTGTTCAAGCCGGCGTACTTGTCGTAGATGAGATAGGGGATACTGAAGTTGACAGTGAAGCTGAAATGTCTGTTAGCACTGGACGAAGTTGGATTGAGTGGTCTGGCTTACTTCATGATGACATTGGTGGTGAAGCCAACTCGCGATGTAAGATCACGCAGCCGAAGAGCTGAGATCTCAGTTGTGACGACATAGACGAGAGGTGCCCAGCCCATTCCGAAGCCAGAGGCGAACACAGCCATCATGCTGATCACGCCCTTCTTCCTCGAATCATCGACAGGAGTTACGATACCAAGACCACCCATCGTCATCATGGCAGCAAACATGGTGACGGACGAGGCCATCATGAGGACACTGGATATTAATTAGCTGGTGGGGCAATAAAAGTCAGGCGGTTTACATACCGTCTACCAACGATGTCCGTCCAAAGAAGGATGCAGGTAATTGAAACGATGCTGATTGCGGATGTGATCAAACTGAAACCAAACGGGTTGATGGTTCCAAGCGACTTGACGTAGATGGTACCATACTGCGACACGAAAGCTTGACCACCAGCCTGTTGATAAAAGTTGACGGCCATAACGATAATAGTTCGCTTGAGATTAATACCCCTCACCAGCTCAACAAACTTTCCCTGCTCAGTCTCCTGCTCCAGAGAGACCTTGAGTTCAGTAAACTCAGCATCGATCTCTTCATCTGTGAAAGCGCCTTCACGGATCTGCTGTAGACTCTTGCGCGCTTCTTCAACTCTATTCTTTCGGAGCAGCCACCGCGGCGACTCGGGAACGAACCAGATGCCAGCTACGACAATACTAGGCACGATGTAGAACATTCCGAGGGGGATTCGCCAGGCGCGGTTGTCGGGGAGGGAGCTTGTTCCGAAGCAGATGCTGTTGATGACGAGTCCGCCGACCGCGAGACTAAGTTGGTAGGATCCGACCATGAAACCACGAGCTTGAGCAGGAACTATTATTGTTAGCTATGGAAGTGATTGTTTGTTGGAGTATGACGTACCGATCTCAGACTGGAAGGTTGGGACAACGCCAAGCTCCATTCCAACATAAACATAATTGAGGATTCGAGCTGCCATGATCTGCTCCCGATGAAACGACGTGACAGCTATAGTCGCTGTACAAAGAGCATACAAGCTCATGACAAACATACACCACCGTCTTCCCCATCGCGAAGAAATCCACGTCCCAATAAGAACACCTACAACCCATCAGCAAAGCACACTCAACCTCGCACTATACAGTATACTCACCAACAGCAAAACCAATGTAGTTCAGACTGTTAAACAGCGAAAGCCACGACGGCTCAAGAACATACTTCTCCGTCTTCTCATTCCAAACACCAAACTGCTTATCAAACGCATCCATCGCCTGCGTCGTAGCAAAAGCCTGGTTGTCGAAGCCATAATTGAACGTCGACACGGCGATGAGCACGCATGAGAGCGCGAGGCGTAGATTGAAGAAGCGGAATTTTGTAAAGACGCCCATGATGGAGGATGCTGTGATTGTGGTTAAGTTGTCATGATGAAGGCTGGAGCTGTAGACTCATATAAAGAGTTGTGAACTGGTAGAGAAGAGACTAGAGATGTCGTGATGGTTGGGTTGTTTGACGAATTGAGGCGATTTTGATGATAGATCCTTATTGGAGCCACTGGAATTGTGGTTTACCCCGGAAAATTGGGCGTGAACTCCCCGAGGGACGAGATCCGGGTGAGGATGCTCCAAGTACGACATCCGAGGACGAGATCCGATTCACTAAAAACGACTAACCTCAGCGCTAGGCATTGCCCATGACTCGTGATCATCTATCAAGTAATCTCACGTCGGCCTCAATCAGACATTCAGGTCCTAACTTGAACCTACCCTACTGGTCCATGTACATTGCAAATTGGCTTAGTATGTCTCGTTAAGATGTCATAAACTTTGACTATCAATCAAGGCGACTCGTCGCTTTGATAGCTGTGGCGACGGCTACGATGACCGTAGCTACTTGCAGAGCAAAAGCTCGCGATACTCTTAGGTCTCCTGGAGCCTTGAGCTGGGTATGGCCATGCCCTGAGACATACGTGTTAGTTCTGTTCAATATGATATCAGTTTGTCATGTTTGACTAACCTTGTGTCCAAAGGAGGCCACTCCTTTTCTGGCAAACTCTTGAGAAACTCCACTGTCCAGTCTCTCCCGCGACTCTCTCGCGGATTGCCAAGACTTTGAGTTGACAATGGTTTTGACCTGCGTTTTCGCTTGTTAGTTCTATCCAATTTTAGATCGACTCTTAGAGCTTTGTCTAACCGTTGGGCAAGTTGCGGTCCATGTTCCGGCAATCCCCTAAGGAACTCGGCCGTTCGATCCCTTCTATGATTCTCTCGCTGAAGTGCTGTGAGGCGATCTGAAACTTTCTGCTCTCGAAGCCTTTTCACTAGCTCGTGCCAGGCTGAAGAGCCTAAAGCTCCACTTGAGCTTAGGAACTCGATATGATATTGGACGTCGGCCATGATGTATAAAAGCAAAGCAGGGTAGTGAACAAGCGCTCGTGATGCAATACCAATAGATTCTTGAGTGACGGAATATCTCCTAGAGCCTATGATAGAAGCATCGCAAGGCGATAGTCCATGTTCAGTCAACCAGTTCTCCACACGCCGATCTGGATCCAAGCTGGGCAATTTCCGCAAATTCCTGAATTCATGTCTGATGCCGGGATCTTGCGGCTTGGTGTTCGACTCTCGGGGGTCTTCCGATGGGAAGGAATGAAAGGAGGATGTTGATACGCTCGCCGAATTGAGACGTTGTCGAGCGGCAACAAACTCGTCCAATTCCGGAATGAAAAGGTAGTCGAGGCAAGTATGTATTATCGTGTAATGACAATCCAGAAGAGGATTGGCTATTTCTAAGCATAGCTTGTGAAAACCTCCCTTGTTTATGAAGAAGTCGTAAACAGACTCGTGGATCACTCTAACCACACGAGCCGATCCCTGTTCATGGTCCATAGATCCAGCACCAGCGTTCACGGATGAAACCTCCGCGAGCTCACCAGGCTTGATAACCGGCCGTTCACTGGTCACTTCCAGCAAACCCATCGATAACCTTTTGACCTGTCTCACAAGGTGATCATCAGTCGTCGTGTAACTGTCTGAACTTCGCCAGTGTGCAAGAGACATCGGCTTCAGAGGTCTAATGAAAGCAATTATATGATGCCATTCATCAAGACGCAGGGGCCTGCTTGCTGCCAAAACCCATTGAAACATCTTGCGTGCGACTGGCACCTCTTTTCTGGTAAGTGAACCGCATATCTCCGAGTATAGATCGTCGAGCTCAGATGGCATGCTTTCGACTTTATAAAGAAGCATTTGCAGACCAATACCAAGGTTGTACCTGGTGAGAACATCTTCTATGACCAGTACGACCCACAAGAAGACACCTTCTGATAGGGAATAGATCCTCGATGCAAGTTCTTTTATCCAAAGTTCTTCATCAGAAGCGATTCGTGCCTTGAGACGTCGCCTGGTGTAGTTGAAAATGTCTTGCCGGTTGTATACATCCGCTTTAAGCTCGAGAGAGCCATTAACTGAGATGTTGGGGAAATGTCTGCAGGATAAGCAGACTCTCAGAGTCTGAAGATCAGGTGACTGAACCAGTTCACTCCAGAAGTCGACCTGATGGCTCTGTGTCACTTCGCCTAATTCGTCCAGTGCATCCAAAAAGATAAATATCCGTGTACCCGTAGACGACACAAACCGAAGAGTTTGTGTGAGCAGCGTCTGAAGTTGTTGCTCATTCCTGATTTTTCCAGACTGTAGAACGGATTCTTGAATAGTCTGTATCAAAGCCTGTTGATCCAAACCGCTAGAAGCGCTGGGGTTGCAAATGCTGGTCTGTGGTAAGATCTGGTAAAGTAACGATCGATATATTCCAGCTGAGCAGCGATGCAAAAGCTGGCCACCAGCATCGATAAAGAAGCTTGCACATACACCACCGTCCTTGTTGAGAGTAAGTTCACGCTGCATTCGCCGTAAAGTCTCTTTCATCACAGTCGATTTGCCGGCGCCTGGTTTTCCCTTGATGAATAACAGGTGCTGATTCTTATCTGAAGCTGTTTGCCACTTTTCGAAATGTTCTTCCTCGAATAACCAAAATCCTGTGAGCAACGAAGGTGGCAGGATCGAATCTCGTCGTGCGTTCATGTCTTCGAACCGTAGGGTTGCGAGGAAGTCATTGAGTATCTTCTTGTCGAGAAACTTTGGCAAGCTGGTCTCAGAGAGTGATTTGTAAACGTCAGACATCAATGGCACACTCTTTTCTGCCTGATGCCGAGCTCCAGGTGTCGATTTCTGAGAGGGCTTGTTCTGGTCCTGCGCGTTGTCGATCGCATTATACAGGGCTTTGATCTCGCCAGCAACTTTGATATAGTTTGGGTCGTTAGCACTGCTGAAGCGACTTAGCTGGTTATGATTGGCCTGAAGAGTCTCAGCATGTTCTCTCGGATCACCAATCAACGAAGACTCGTGCGGTACGACTTTATCTCCTAATACACCCAAACCTATACCAGTAAGACCCAGGCTTTCTTGGAAAGTCTTTACTTGGAAGTCGTACGTATTCCAGAGTCTACAGAAGGCCTCGTGCGTACGTTCGAGATCTGTTGTCTTGAGACCCAGGGTGTCCAATATTGTCGAAGTTGTTTGGAATCGCAAACTGCTAACCATTGATCTAGCCCAATCGCCGATCGCTGCGAGCTTGGGACTTCCGCGATGGGGCGTTCCGAGAAAGACTATAGCTGCGGTCGATTCAACAATCTTCTTGTGCTCTGGTTTCTCGGATATAGACGATAGAGCGAGCATCTGAGTATGAAGTAAGCAGGACTTCATGACCAACTGGTAAATATAGTCACCTCTTTCACAAGTAGACCGCCGAGACTATGGGCAACAAAGATCAAGGGACGATCTGGTATGGGATTGCGGCCGAGCGAGAATAATAAGTCCTTTCCGTGAGAGTAAATACTGTTCATATTGGTCGGACCCGAGGTGAATTTTGTTATCTTTGTATCATATCCGAAAGTGAGAATCCGAGCCTTTCGGCAGGTCATTGGCAGCAAGTCCGCCGGCCAGAAAACAGACAAATTATTTTCGTGTGCGGCTGCAGAGGTTCGAGTCGTAGAGGTAGTAAGGACACTGTCCTGGCGTCTTTTACTCGACGAGCGTTTCACCAAGGCCTTGAAACTTTGTCTGAGTTCAAGTCGCTTCGAATTGTTAAACTTTGGGGCCTTCTGTTCCTGATTCTTCGATTTCTTCTCTGCATTTTCCGAGCCCTGCTTGTATCTCCAAGTCTTGTAGGGATGGCCTCTTAGACCGTGGACTAGAATAACGCTAGACGCGGCTTTAGCGCTTTCATCGGGATGGTTACACATTTGTCGCTTACTCGACTATCGTGGCATCGTCTCCTGGCTCGTACACCACACTAAGCCCCGTCGAAGGTATTTGCTCTGGCGAAATCTGGATCTCTCTTTGGGAACTCTCTTGGGCGTACATGGCTACCTGATGGAAAGTGGATGAGATGCGGAGCGTGTTTTTCTTGGCTTTTGAGAATCAGGCTGGAGGCTGAGGTCACGTGGGAATATCACCCATGCATAGGTACATATTCAGGTGTTGCGATTCAATTGGTTCCTCTCCATCGTCCAATCAGATTCAACGTGTCTATCTAAAGATTTTCTTCAGTTCACAGGTTACTGGAAGTTCACTTTAATATTATTGTTCTATTGGTTGTACTTGGGAAAGTGTATGTATGTCTAGTTCGTCAGTCCGTTGACCCATTATACTCCATGATAAACCTTGGTAACAACACCAAGCTCCATCTCATTCGCAGACTTATCCCCATTCTCACTACCGCCATGCGCATTCGCATCCCGTAAATTAATCCTCTCCAAACCAGTATGACCAGGCGGTGACGGCGATCGTTTATCAGACGAGGCCTCTTCAGTAGTGACGTTAACAATAACCTCATTCTTCTGATAAATCTTCAACGGGATATCCTTCCCGTTAATCTCCTCCTGACTCTCTGAGAAGCTCATTCCAGGCTCAACAAAAGTGGTCTTTTTGGGCCGTCGGTCCATACTGCTGAGATTTCCGTATGCTGATCTGAATCGCGATGTTCCCTCGCCAGTGCGTTGGTTGGAGGATTTACCGTACTTGGCGTGGAATGAACCGAGGCGGAAGACGCGTTGGAGGAGAGTCCATGTTAGAGGGAGGTTGGCGGCGATGACGGCTGTTGAGACTTCGCGGATGTACCAGTAGGACCATTCTGTGCCGAAGGGGTCGCCGAGACTGTAGATTTTGCTCATCGTTGCTGCGAGGATCTAAAGGCAAGTTGGTCAGACATCAAGGGTAAGATGGAGTTGGTGGATGAGAACTTACAGTAAAGATACCAAGCGCAAAGACACCGCAGAGGATGATCTTTCGCTTAAGCGGCAGCTGAGATTGTAGAAAGACAGGCATAGGAAGAAGGATGATCATGATGTCAGAAGAGATGTTGACGACGGCGTTGGTGATCATATGGTTGGTCTCAGCTGAGCAATTCACTGCAACTTATTAGTCCAAGCCGCTTATCTTATCAACGGGCAACCCACAATCATCAGGAGGAACCTGCCAGTAGTGGTTGAAAGGCCGGCACCAAGCAGCAAACCACAAGATCTGCATGACAACGAATCCAACTACAACATATCCTGCTACCAGCTTTACCAAGAAGTTTTGCTTCAAACTCATTCTGGAGGTTGTTAGTTGAAGGTGACTGTATCGTCGATGAGGAGCCACTCACGTCAGTCGGCCGTACATAAACAGTAGACAGCCCTTGACGCCCCAGAGGGTAAGCATCTGCATGTGTTCCGTGACGAGTACCAGTTTTGATCCATATTCTCGGCGTTTGATGTCTTCGGGGGTGAGTACGATGTGATCGTCGGGGTTGATGAGGTTGGTGGGTGTTCGTGTGAGGACACTGACGATTGCCAATAGGGCAGTATACGTGATCTGGAAATGTCAGTATTGATGCAAGAGAAGGTATAGGAATACAAACCATTGTCACCGCCATGAGATAATCATCTGCCAACATGCGCTTGAATGATCCAAGCAACATACGACGTGACGCCCTGTACCAAGTCAGCAGCAATTCTCAACACGCCCGCCGAGCACTCACATTCGCGCAACCACCACAATCAACGTCAAGGCGTACCACGCCCACATCTCAGCGTCGAGGGACGGCATGGCTGCTGATGCTGATGCAATACCAAATCGTCGGGTCTTCACCCAGAACCAAAAAGCAAAACAGTCAGAATCCGGGGCATCGATGCAAGAAAAAAAGTAACAAAAAAAAGGAACGACAAGATCTGCAGCGCCAGTCAGGGGTGCAGAACCTCTGCAGTTAAAAGAACCAGTCCTATCACGCAACAGTGATCCAGACCCAGACCCGTCAGGGTAGACACGTGGAAAACATGGGACCCTTAATCAGCCCATGGCCATTATCGGAGCCTGGCACCCAATACCAGTAAATCACTGCGGAATAGAGTTTGCTAGACGTTTGGGGCTACAGTCGAAACCCGCCGCTATTACGAGACAAGTCCTAGGCCCGGCGTTACTGGTAAGCCACGGACCCACGGGCTAGCACTCCAAGTTCCTTTTTAGAACGTTTCTGTGGGCACCTGTCACCAAAATTCATGATTGGCACTGATGATCATATTGCGTAAAGCAATTCTTTCTGCGAGGTCGGAAGAGGAACGTCCCTGAAGGCTGAAGAATAAATTGGGGGCGAATTTCCGTCAAGGCGCAATCTGGCAGTGGATTGGCCGGCAGTGACATAAAAATATTTCTCATCATATAGGGGCTAACGCGCCGCTCAGACAGTGGCTTTTATTCCGCCATCGCAAGCGCTTCCAGAACGAGCATGTCGCCGTTCTTAACAGATGCGATAAGAAAGCTGAAAGACGCATGTGATCAGACCCCCTGGGCGATGCATTATTTAGCCACTTCCCGGCGATGTGGTTCAGATCTGGATGCTACCCCGTGGCTGTGCGGGCGTAGGATGATCACAAGGATAGAAGGTTCAATTGAGTTCGACCATCAGATGTGCCCCTGAGAGTGATCCGAGATAACGGAACCATCTTGTTCTCGGTTCATTTTTTCCGTTCGGCTCCGGCAAGTGGACATTGAATGGGTCAGCGTACGGTCAGTGATGAGAGTGTTGGCGAATCTTCGGATATTTGCGCCATTTTCATCCCGTCTTTGCTTCTGGTTCCTGTCGATCATTCGTGGGAAAGACAGGGTGCCAAGGCTTTAAAATTCTGCGACACGTGGGAGCCGTCGGGAATAAGTCATCTTTGTGATTTGGTGGTTGAAACACGAGTCATGGCGGAGATACAGGGTAAATGCAAACAAATATGACAGAGCCATTGCAGAGACAACGAGAAGTAAGAGCATGTTAGAAAAGCTTATCTATGTATGTTATAGTCTCTGAGCAGAGTAATAGTCTTTTACGCCAGATTTCGCCTATATTGCGACAGATAAATCGTTTCGTGAACCATCTATATACAATCAATGACATAAAAAAAGCATCGCGAATAATGCATCACGCAAAAACATCAACTAAAGAAAATGGTTATTTAAAAAATCTCAAAGCATGATCTACAGTTTATGAAATTGAAGAAAGAATGATGAGATAAAAAAAAAAATGACATATAAGATACACATGCAAAATAAAGGTCTCGGAGGGAGTCGAACCCTCGCTGGCGGAATCAGAATCCGCAGTCATAACCGTTAGACCACGAAACCGTGAATTTTTTAAGTGTTTACTTTGCTAGATCTTGACGCCTATCAATCTGTTACACTCGTGGCCTAGCATTCGGCTTATCGATTCGAACTTGATTGTTGTTTTCTCATATGTTTCAACATGTCGCATTTCTTGCGCCTTCGAGAGACCGTGGTAAATACAGACAGACACTCTTGTTTAAGAAGCGAAACGACTTATTCCTTCACTACCTAACAACAGCCTATCTTTTCACTGGCACAGCCGAGATTCTGTCTCCATCTGTTAAAATCCCAGACATTAGTATGCATCCAGAAAGCTTTGTCGGCATGCACATTATGCTGTATTTTGAACTTGTCTGCCATCTATCTCAGGCGTAGACGCATTTCTTGTGAAATATCACATATAATGTATAGATACCCAAGCGCCAGAAATTGTTATCTCAGCCGTACCAGCTCTGGCTAGATGGATGCAGGAGATTCCACACCAACTTGAATCACTCGCATGTTTGCTAGCAAGAAACTGTCCTCTGTTTTCAGTCACGGAAACCTTGGAGCCGGCCGTCGCATGAGGATCCGAGTGAGGTGTTTGGTTGTGCCAAGATCTAGTAGCGTGGGGGTTGATGATCTGATATTACAGAATATCAAAACAGTACCTCGCAACAACCTCGTTGGACCACAGTGGTGTCTGCAGCTGAACTCATAACACTGAGTATGCCAAAGATTATCTCACGTCAGTAAGGTAACTTTGACTCGCCCATTCTTTGGTAGTAATAATGTAAGCATGGTACTTAATACGTCCTACCTCCCCAACTCTTATTTACATCCGATCACATAAAAACATGACAACCTTGTACGCTCGGACAGCACAGGGCACTTTTGGATGCAGGGCTCCGCCTTGCCTTTTGACCAAAGAACGCTCGACCACAGCAAATGTAGACCCATAAATCTGCTGGAGCCTGGTTACCTCACATGTGGAGGCCTCGTCCATTCGCTCGTACTATATATGTGTACCAATACTGCCACGTCAGTGCTGATCACTATACGTAGTCACTTCGCTCTGTAGCTTCAGATTCTTAGTTCCTTCTGAACCAGATATTTCCATCCGCGCAACCCCCTTGAATTGTGTTCATGTCGTCTCCAGAGGACTCATATTACCAACTTCGTGACTGGAGCGAAGCTGAGCGAAAGTTGATATGGGACAAGTGGACATTGTGTCAACAATGTGAGGAACTCCTCATAAGAACAGACCCGTTTTGGGGAGGCAGCTTGACAGTGCACCGGTCTGGGCCTAATTTTTACAAAATCAACGGTTGCGGCTTCTGCCGAGTTCTGAGCGAGATATTAGATTGGGATATCAAGAGGAAGGGCATAAAGCAGAGGTACTAAAATCCCGCACATATTTTCGCTGGGTGTCTTGAATGCTAATCCGATTTTAGGAATAGTTGGCAGATACAATTTACCGATAGAAGTTGGCCCTCGTTCGAAATAGCGTTCCCTGTTGAAGAGTCAGAAGGAAATAATCGGATATCATTTTACTTCCGTATGTGTAGTTAATGTCATAGGCCGTTCTTCCAGTCTAATGCTTGTCCCAGTACCTCGTGGCTTTCTATCACGAAAGCATGTTTATGATCGCAACACTTGGCCAATTGGAACAATAGCAAACAACTCTTTGCTGTCTTCTGGAATGGTGTCATTTATTCAAAAGCAACTACAAGAGTGCATTACAAATCATGACATCGAGTGTCAGCCATCATGGGCTGTGGGTAACCACCAATGGCCAGCAAGGCTACTGCGAATCGAAGGCGACATCGCAAGACTGGTTGATTTTATACCCGAGACAATGTCGAATCAATATGCCGCTTTAAGCTACTGCTGGGGAGGTAAATCGGAGCTTGAACTATACCCTCCGTTCGTAACAACAGGAACAAATATTCGGCAGCTGCAGCAGGCAGGTATAGCTATTTCAGAGCTGCCCTTAACAATTCAGCACGCCCTCTTGGTTACCAAACTGGTCGAGATACGATTCATATGGATTGATTCAATCTGTATCATACAAGACTCTAGCGATGATTGGGAACGAGAGGCCACAAAAATGGCAGCCGTCTACGCTATGGCAAAACTGACTATTATCGCTGCATCTTCCACCTCCTGTCACAGCGGCTTTCTGGATGTCAATCTTTCTTATTGTAATCCGACCGTACCCTCCCATTCGCCCTTCCTATTGGAAGCACAAGCTTCGTGCAATTCTGGATTTCACAGGGAGCGGTCTATTGGTCATTTAGACCCTACTTGTGACCCCATTGATGTTCGAGGGTGGACACTACAGGAAGAGCTTCTCTCGTCCAGATACATAAAGTTTACCAAAGATGATATACAGTGGAGTTGCAATTATCATCAAGACTGCATGTGTGGGCAGGAAGTTATGGGAAAATACACAGGTCTTTGGCAGAACAAAAGCCAATCAGAGGACCAGGACCCGGACACAGATTGGTTCCGCTTCACCACGGAGTTCTCTCGAAGGAAGTTCACCAAAGACACCGATAAACTGATCGCAATATCAAGCTTAACGAGAATTGCAGCATCGAAGTTCATTGCACCTGAAGGACAAGTAGCATATATCGCGGGACTGTTGGTCAAATCAATTGGGTCTGCGAGTCTGGTCAGATGACTGATGGCTACGTTGCCCCTAGCTTCTCATGGGCCTCTTTGAATAATAATCCTGCTGGAGCCTGGCTTAGGGGGGGTTTCAAGCACGAGCTATGTCAATTTCGAGGAGCAAGTGTCTCGCCATCTTTGCAAGGTAATATCTTCGGTTCGGTTTCGGCAGGTTCTGCAACGCTTTACGGCCCTGTGGTTCGCACGACAGTCACTTTACCAAAGGTGGAGCATGAAACACGACTATATATTTCCATTCATGAATTCGAGGCATGGGTGACATTTGACTGTCCGGTGAGCGAAAAACTACACCCTAACGGTTACAAAACGCTTCAGAGATCCCGAAACCAGAACACTGACGCATTTGGGGAATATTCTATAGTGAGTCTTGTCCTAGGCATATCTACGGGAGGATCCATCACTTGCCTACTGCTGGAGAAGATAGATGATATTCACTATCAACGGATTGGTTACGCCGAATCGGAGGAGTATTGTACTTATATAGATGAAAAGACATTCCAGATGTTGGAAGAGGCAAGAGAGGAAGTAACAATAATCTAAGGCAGGGAATCGTAAGTAGTAATAAATTCGGATAAGGGAACAATAACTTCAGGAAGTTAATAAATAATCAAGGGTAGATGTATTCTTGACCTACCAGATAACTTGCATCCAGCCAGGGAAATTCTAAAGCCAAGAAGAACGTTCTGGCGTGTTGTCGTGTGACCACGCTCTCAGCCCCTTCACTGGAAATGACTCCAACACGGCTTTGGGACCTGCCTATATTTAGGTCAACCTCGGATTCAATTAGCAATGCCGTCGCAGCATATAACAAAGCGTCAGGTCATGGAGCGCCGAAAACTCTTAACTCTTCACAATGGTAAATATATTTTGCAAATCTCGCGGGCATCACCTCTGCTACATTCAGACGCAACCTACATGTGGGCAGACTCCTCAGTAACACTTGTAAGCTATAGTTGGAACCCGAGAATACCACTTGCTAGTCAGCCGCTGACGGATTCATGCGACTTTTGCTTATGCAGGCGTCGGCTCCTCTTTCGTTTCCGGCTTCCGTCCCCAGACAGCTCTGAGACGAATATAGACATGATGTTTCCGGTTCCGAACCTCACGTCGGAATTTGGCGATATAAACGTGGACCTCCTCCATTGACCAGCCCAATAGATTGGCAGCTAACGTCACGAAACCCTCAGTATCCTGCGTAAGGAAGACCTCTCCAAACCGACCAATCTCCTTAAGCTTCGGATCCGCGGGCCACGGGTTCAAGGGACACTTTTCAAGTCAGTTATCAATGTCGCAGCATAATGGTCTTGCACGTTACCTTGAACTCCCACTCGTGAATGTCAACGAATCCAGCCTCTTCCAAAGCGGGCCTCTGGACTTTATCGTCGACAACGGTAAAGCTATTACCGATCTTCTCCGAAGCCTGGATGAAAATCCTTCCCCATTGAGCCATTGCAGAGTCATATGTGACGGTGCCATCGTCGCTTTCTGCAGTTGGGGAAATTTCAAAGCTCTCAACCCAGCCACCAGGCTTGAGGGTCTTGTATGCTTGACTGAAAAGCTCTGTCCAGTCTGGAATGCAGCCGACGAGATAACGAAGGTGGACATAATCGAATGAGTCAGTTGGGAAGGTCCACTGTTGGGTGCAATCTTCGATCTCGCTGATATTGGGGTTAGATACAGAATGTTCATAGACAAGTGTGATGAAGTAGCTCACAATTTCAGGTTGGGTGGAACCCAGCCAGGCTGGATGGGCGAAATATCGGTACCGGTGACCTCGCATCCAGGGAATTTATCCGCAAAGTCACTGAAAATTGGTTAAGAGATGGTAAACTAACATATGCTGGGTAACCTACATGGCCCAAATACCTGCAGTCTAAATCAGCAAGGGCAATCTCGCGGTCTCACAGGAAGATCATTTCATACCAGTTCCAGTCCCGATGTCAAGAACTTTCTGACAATTGGCAAAAATAGCTCATCAGCACGATAGGAACATCAGTAAATTGTGTTATTCAACGAACCTGTATATTATCGTCCAGAGGCGCAAAGTATAGTTCTCCATCGTGGGCAAGTGTCCATATGTGGTGACTGGGTAGTATCCTGTTAGGCAAGCGGTCGCACAACTCTCGCAGGAGGGGTATCTCACGCGATATCCATGGCATCACTTTGGCGCTCATCGTTCGATCCCCAGTACGCTGCATTTCCTCTCTCACTGTGAAAAGTCCTGCCATTAATCGTACGATAATTAAGAATGCTCGATGAAATAGAGGCCGTAGAGCTCTCAGCGTCAGATCCCAAAGTCAAGTCCTCTTCCTCATCTTGAGGATGGTTGTCAACTGCAATTGTTTCGTTAACCGCTGCCGACGGATCCTGGGGCGATCGCGGGGACCGGCTTTTCGGGCTGCTAGTATTGGACATTGTATCAATAATGCATGTTCCCAGACGAAATGGATGGCAAACAAAGGGAAAAAGAAAAACAGTTCAAAAGTGAGGAGCAGGGCCAAATCCTTTTAACCTGTTGGTTATTTGCAAAGCATATGTCTAGTTAAGCGGGGACTTTCCGGAGCGAGGCCAGCAAAGGAAGTGACAAGTAACATATCATGACATTATTGCATGTTGTATGCATAAGCGATGACTTATTGACCAATGGTATCTATGCGTTTGCCAGGTTGTTGGTTGTCATCCGTTTGCAGTTACATTTGAGGAGGGGGTTTTCAGGTAAGGTGGACTCTTGCGCGAAAAACAAAACAAAACAGAAAACAGGTCCTGTAAAAATGTTGTATTGTCGATTGAAAACTGATAAGAACTGGTCCTGCCGACCAACTGCAAAAGAGAGCGGAATCTGGAGCTTTGGACCTTTTCCAATACACGAGCTGGTTCCGTAATGTGGAGAGTCGATGGTCTTGGCATTCAAACCAATGGATAGCAGTGGAAGATGATCTGAAGTAACCATGGCCGCCATGCTCAAGGAAGCCCGTTGATGGAGATTTGCGGCTAAATGTATATTTGAGAAGGACTGTGAGACTCTAAGGAGAGAGCTCTCAAGGAGGTACCACGCGTGATGCAGATTTACTGGAGGCTATACTCATGTCCAATCGCACATGACAAATAGTTCGCGTCTAAATCCGAATGCATAATGCATGTTTACAAAAGTGAAGCGAGATCGGTAATCACCAGGGGCCTAGTGCGCCTTTGTATCTGAGCCAAAAGCCCATGGACATTAAAAGGCATCCCTCGTCAACTTGTGCCGAAACGATGCAATCAACACATTATCAGCGTCAAGTCAGCTGACGTCAGCAGCAACTAGCAATCTTGGCTTTACGACTATTAGAATATGGTGATGAGGACAAATATGTGGTGAAAGAAATCCATGTGTTGAGTCGATGGAAAGGATATTTTACCAGGACGAGCGAGGAACAGACAACATACAATCTGAGGAGCCGCAGACTTCGCACTGGATGTTTCGAACCAGCGAGATGAATGCTTACAGCACTTGACGATTCAGATAATACTAATATCATGACCAATAGATCAGTCAATGACTTCGTACGACGCAACGGCGTTTATCAAGAAGTCATTAAACCCGACACATACTACCTCTATCTCGGACCAGAGACCCTTGCGAGACCTGGAAACTATGGACTTCCTGATACCGACTATATACCCGCCAGTCCTACAACCGAGACTAAGCCAGCTTCTTTCAAGACTCGAGAACACTCAAAAGGGCCGGGCAGTTAAACTGCCCAGAGTCTCAAGATCACAGGCAACGCGCATTCCGATGGCGGTAGCACAAGCCATGAAATAGGTCCCCCAACGGCAAGGGCAGAGGAGGCTATCACTAGATAACGGACGGAGAGACTGCCCAGTGATAAACGGTTGGCAGGCTAAGTTTCGGGTACGGTCATTTCATTCAGACAAGGAATAACATTCGATGCAATATATACAGATATTGTATTGATGATATTTACAATAGATAAATATAGTTCATAGAAATTTAATGTGTTTTGGGCCACGCATCCTAGACTGGTATCCTAGGTCTTTCCGGAAGACCCCGTTGTGTGAATATTTGGAGCGATTTACTATAAAGGAATGTCAGTTTCTGGCTTCGGTGGGATTTTGGGCATGACTTACGATAAAGCCGAACCACTTGAGATCGTTGTCATCGAAATGAGGGTTACCGTGTCCAATACCCTGGCCCAAGAAAGCCTAAAAATGTCAGCCTTTATCCTTCACCTCATTATGCTCCATATCTTACCTGGAACTTGTCGCCAAAGACCTGGCGAGTGTAAGGGCTGGCAGGAGTGTTGGGTGTAGTTGACTTGGGGGTGGAGGAGTATCCAAAAATACCAGTCCACTGCTTGATCTCCTCATAGTAGTTCTGGACGTTGAGAGTAGGGTCGGCAGTTCCGTGGTAGATCTGGAACTTGGGGCGAGCGCCGTTGTAGCCGGGGTACATGTTCTTGACGACGTTGGCCCACTGGGTCTGGGTGTAGATGGACTTTCCTTGGGAGCAGGTTGAGTTCCATGCGGCGGCTTGGTTGGCCTGGCTGACGAAGCAGCCTGCGGGAACACCAGCGTAGGCGCTTCCAGCGGCGAAGACGTCGGGGTAAGTAGCAAGCATGACGTTCTGTTTTTATTAGTCCAGTTTTGTTGAGAGCAGGTGAGTGTTGACTTACGGTCATCATGGCACCGGAAGATTCACCAGTGACGAAAACCTTCTTGGCATCACCGTTGTACTGCTTGAGAACATACTTGGCCATGTTGGCGATAGAGGTACTGCAACCACCACCCTCGTGTGTCAAGGTCATCTTGGAGGAGACATCCCAGCAGCCACCGGAATAAGGAGTCTGAGGATAAATAACAATGAACCCGTACTTCTCAGCATTGGAAGCCCACTTGGTACCCTGGTAGTAAGCCTGAGAGGTACCACCGCAGTAGTGAAGAGCAACGACGACAGCAGGGTTGGCCTTTAAGTTCTTGGGGACGTACAAGGACATCTTGGTGCCGGTTGGGTTGTTGCCATAGCTGTTGACCTGCGTGAGCTGACCTCGCGGGACGGGCTCTGCAGCGAGGACGAGGCTGAAGAGGGCTAGCGCCCAGAAGCTGATGATGGAAGTCAACTGCATGATGAAATGTGTCGAGAGAATGATGTGCCAAGAAGTATGGGGAAACAAAACATGATGGGATGGTGTATCAGCCAAGATATATACCCGTCCCCCCAGAAGTAAGTGGAGGCCTATGGATCGATCTCATCTCCTGACCATGCTCCAATGGATCGAACGGACGTGTATCCTCCGCCAGACGATGTTTCCACTAGCCAGCGAATCTCGTTCCTGAACGAACTCCACACCGCTTGGTCCTCAGCTTGGAAATGTACGGATTCGGCACATGGCGGATATGCCGATGGGCCTTTTTGGCTAAACTCGTCCCCGCAGTGGAATTCATGCAAACGCAGAAAAACTGATCATTGACGAGGGTAAAGGGCGAGTTTAGCCTGGGATAATAACCGATCGTGGTGTGTTTCAGTGGGACTTGAAACCTCGAGCCTTTCCGGATTGAGACGCGGAGAAAATTGGAGCGTTGCATTGATGAGTTGAGGACTATTCCACCAATTGGAAGAACGACAGAGCTGACGGTTTGGAAACACCAGTTAAATTACACGGATTCTGTTTCTTGTCAATGCGACTATATTTCCTCTTCAGGTTGTCGATAGTTTGTGTCGTGTCGTGAACGTGCCATGCTAGGGAGTGAGTCTGGACCTGAGATGGGCTTATCCTGGGTGACAAAAAGACTTGGATAAAACCAAAGTGAACGTTAGTACGCGTCACACTAGATATTTTCAGCACCTTCCATTGAGGCCAGATGTTTCAAGTTTTTTGTTGTGTCAGATAGACTTGTTTGCTCCCCTGGCCTGTGGCTTTGATCCGGATACACGGCAAGTTATCTTTACGTTCAGACAACTATTAATTAATCCGCAACGTCACTTGCCATCTGAAAGTCCATGAATGAAAAGATCGAGCATGGCATCAGTGTTGCGCACGGACGTAAGGCCTCAGCTACTCCTCAATTGATCAAAGGCAAAAACATGACCGGAGGAGGATAACATTTGCCAACCGAGTTACATATTGTGTGGCGCCACAAAGCTGGACCAAGAGAGCCACTCAAAGCTGGGGGATTGATTGAGCCAAGACTCCGAGTGCTACTACACTAACGAGATAACAGACACCAACAAGAACTACAATGAGAAGACCGCCGACGCAACTTCGAAGTATCCCCTCGAGACATCCTCAGCTCATCCATTACCATGTCTCCATTCGTTCCCACCTTGTTTCTCCGCACCAGAAGGCTCGGCACTTCTATGAAAGCTAGTAGCCCATTGGACTCAAGTTACTATTCACGATCACATTTGACCATCGAGAACAGGCATGCCGCCAGAGTGGACGACTAAACCGCGAGGGGCTGGACAAAGGTGAAGAAATACCAACCTTTTGATGACCCTCTGAGGGATGTCGCGAGGCAGAGAGTCATACCTGTGTTCCTTACCAGCTGGCACTGCCACCCTATCAAAACCGGACAAGAGACGAAAGGCGTTTCGAAGAGTTTGAACACAGCCGCTGGGGCGAGCGTAAGGTGGCCCAGCAGCGGTAATGCGGCGCTGGAGTTCTTGGTTGGTGATGAGGCCGGCCTGGAGAACGAATATATTAGACGGTGTTCCATCGTCGGAAGGTATTTAGGGAGAGGTGGACTTACAGATTGAAGTATGGAGAGAGTGAGAATCTCACGGTTTGCAATTGCCTCTTGAAGAGCCATGATTTCGACGTTGTTTGAGTTCATGAGATGCATCTCCAGTTGTCTCCACGCAGGCCCGTAATCATCAAGAGCACGACGGAGTTGCCAGAGCTCATGTCCGGTTAACGCAGGTGAAACCTCCCGGCTATCTCCCAATTTGGGATCACGGTGAGCCCGACAGGCAATGAAGTTCCGGTACCATTGGGCCGCTCCGAGAAGCTCGGAAGGGATCTGGGAAGGAAGTCAGGGCCATTACGCACCCATCTGGGAGGAAGACCTACCGAGCCACAGGCCTTGCTTTTGTCGTGGCAGAGAATGCAAATGACGCTTTTGCTGTTACATTCCGCAATACAGACGCAGCGAACATCAAGATCGATGCTTGAAACACAGCCCAGGCAGGGTATGCCATTGACGCCTTCGAAGCCGACTTTCTGATTGTACTTGTACTGAGAGAAGACGGTCGCGATGTGATCGAGCGAAGCCATCGCGAAGGTGTTGGCGAAGATAAAGAACGCTTGAAGAGTTGGAAAGGGGAAAAGACCGCGGCGAAGACGCAGCGAAGAATTGAAGAGAGGGCGGAAGCAGAGATCACAAAGAGATGCTTGAGGGAGAAAAACAAAAGAGTGAAAGATTTTCTTGCTTGTTGACTTTGAGTGTGTGCTAGCAAACAATTTGACCGTGTATCACTGCCTCTGTTCTGGCTGGTGGGCTGGCACTGGCAAACAGCTGCCTACCATAAAGCAACAAACCGAAGAAAACCACAGGCTACTAATACTAAACTTTAACCTGGTGATGCGCTGTACCGGGATGAAATATGCTGTGCATTGGAGGAGGGACGTGATTGTCACAGATTCAATCACCCCATGATCCTGAGCAAGTCTGGAAAAGGTGCAGTTACTCTTGCTCAGAGATCTCTTGCTGTGATCTCGAGTTTGTGTTTGATCGAATTGGAATTTCTATATATCCCACGATCTTAATCGCTCCCAAACTGGATATACCTGGTTTTCGTCAAAAGCCTCGTTATTTGCCCTCGCAAGAGCACGACGGCAGGCAAACCACATATAGAGGTTATGATCCATTCCCACTTCCTCAGAATGAGACACCATATCTTTCAGCCAATCTTGAAACCGATTATTTTGTTCCTGTTCCAACACTTGGTCTCTCTTGGCCAGTTCATTAAAGACCTCCTTCTCCCTTTGCAGCAAATCCCACACAAAACGAACCGCGACGTCGAGACTCACTCTAACGGCAGTTTCTTCGTCTCCAGAACCGCCAGAGTAGTCGTCGCGGTTCACGTTGGACGCTAGCCCTGCCTCGAACAGAGGGAGAAAACTAATGGGTGATGACAGATGTGCATCATCCCCCGTTTTGACCAGGAGAATTGTACATTTAGCCAGCTGTCTCTCCACAGGGCGTTCCATGTCGTGAATCCTGTCCCAGCTTTTCAACCGTTTTGTGTTGTAGTATGGGGCTGCCTTCACTATCATCGACTGCTCGTCAACAACCAGATACAGAGCGCGGAACAGATGGGACATGTGGTAGCCATGCTCCTGCCAAGATCGTATGTCGCCTGGGGTTTCGTCCTTAGGTGGTTGTTCTCCTGGGTAACTAGAACGCCAGTTTCTCCCATGCTTAAACTCCACCAAGTGCTCTACATGAGTGGATACGTATTCAGAGAGATCTGCATGAGAGGCCGAGAGCTGTTCAAGATTCTGAGGGCCATGTTCTGTCAAGAGTAAAGGTTTTCCGAAAAAGCCACCGCGCTGGAAGAATGGTCGGCCGTTGTGGAGTCGTAACCACGCTCGGAATATATACCTGGCTATCCTTTGGCTGTCCAAGATGTCGGCTGACTCATGTTCAAAATAGACCATTACTTGTTTATTTGACCAGTCGTCAAGATGATAGGGTCCAACTATAAGCTCTGAAACCCGTGGTGTGTTGATTACTGTCATGCAGTGATCTGCGCGCCATCCAATCTTGAGATCTGAACACATCCGTATATTTGCTGCGGCATCCTCGAAAAACATGATTTCAAGTTCCTTGTAAATAAGATCTGGTATCTCTTTGAGAGCCGCTATTGTGGGCTCGAGATAGTTCTCGTTGTAGCCATCTTCCATGCGAATGGAAGCTGGGTTAAATACCTTCTTTGATGAAAGACGATAAGTAGAATCTCCAGGGGTACTCATGGAGATGATCTCCTGTTCGTTGCTCCCAGGAGCCGATTTCGTCAGTGGCGGGGAGTTTGCCATGGCTTTTGTAGATTTTTGATCCGATGAGTTTCGACGATAGAGGTTGGCGAGAGTATGAAATATTTAGGGATATGGATCAAAAGAACAGGAACAGATTTATAGTGAAATTTGGGAGTCTTGATGAGTCACTCATGCTCTTGACACTCAAATTTGACTTTTGGAGATAAGTTTGTTGGAACTTTAGGCCAGCACATCGCACTGTTACTGGTGGCACCAATGGCAATGGTGATACTTTACATACGTGGCGTGTCAATTCGCCGAAACTTACTTTCATGACGCCAGACATGGTCTAATTCTTTATGTAATCTAATTGAACGCATAAAAGTTAGGTGGAAGCATTGGATGTGACTTGGCCCGAACTGCGAACCCAACTACTTAAAACGTCTCAAGAGGGGCGACTTAGCAACGACAATGCCTAATCTTGAACCCAGCTAATGAAAAATGAATCTCCGTCATGAATTTGTTGTACAAGGCCCAAATTAATCAGAACAAGAAGTCCGGGTTCATGTAATGGAGCCTTGACTTCCAGTTTGATTCAATCAAGGCTGGCATCTGGTGTGCCAGTTGTCGGCAGTGTCTGCCTGACATCACGCAGAAACCAGCATCTCTTTGGAAAGAATCTCTTCTCACCTTTAGACGTGTTTTTCTTTCTTCCTTATCGCAGGCTGTTTTGCTAAACTTGACTTCACATTCTTGACATTTTCTGCATTCAACATACTCTCTTCACCTCCGTGATTATAAATTACCAGCCCTCAACGCGGACACGTCGCCGATCCGTCCTCTCAAAATGTCGATTGCCGCCGCCGTTTCCACTGCTCTTGAGTAGTAAGAACTCGACGAAGAGACAGGCTCCAATCGCCAGGCCGACTCTGAGCTCCCATGCCTCCATTGCGTCCTCTCTGCCCATCGCGATGGGCGACTTGTCTGTGTCTTTAATGAAACGCCGTCTCGATGCACCCTTTGCAAGAGGGACCACAAGAAATGCACTGCCGTATGTATTGCCGTACAGTCAATGGGTTTGCGTCCTTTGGCCTAACGCAGAGATAGATCCCTCCCGAGCTGCAGCCAGGCGTGTTACGCAGGCTTATTGGAACGCCCTTGACTCCGAGTTCAGCACCGATCGACCGCTGACTCGCCTCGAAAAGTGGCGGGTTATGCAGTGTGTTCTCGAGGCAGCGTCTGCTCTCCGATTCCTCGTCGTGGCTCTCTCGAACCCTTGTCGCACAACTTCTCGCAACCCAAACGGCGTCGCTCCTGTTCTCCAAGTCCAGTAGCTTGCTTCTAATCGGGAGCTTCTTTACACTTTCTTACCGAGTTCAGGTGAGGTCTCCGTTGCTTTGCCGACTTGTCGCATCTAATCATTTTCCAGACTGGCCCCGAGATACACGATGACACGACCATCGAGGGGGATATTCGCCGGACCGTCCCTGCCTACACCCGCGAATGTCGTGAGGCCAATGCGTTTGTTGCTGCACTGGAACGACTTCCCACTGCTTTCGAGACGCCGGTCGATGGGGAGAACGATCGCAAGAAGGCAAAGCTCCCTCCGATGGAACTCCACGACGAGTTCATCGAAGACATGGAACGTCTTGTCGCCGAAGGTAAGGAGACCGTTTGCAACGCTGTCCGCACTATTGGCCAGGGTCCTGTTCGTCGTGGAGCAGCGCAAGCCACTCCTCAAAAGCGTCGCCGAGCGCTCAAAGAGGATGATGACGATCTGCAGAAGAGTTCAATCCGGGACTCTGAATCCTGAGTAGAAGGTCCCGTCCCCTGCGAGGAGGAAGGTTGAGTTAGTTGGTAAGAGCCTTCGGTTCTTCAAGGCTTCTCAGGGACTTTAGTGCACAGTACCATAGCGGGAGGGGGGGTTTGAACAGCTGTTAGAGGGAGGAAAGAGTGTCCACCTTATTTTATCACCCCTAATATTCTTCTATATTAGGCTAACATGATATTATTGATCAAAAATAACCACGACAGTCTTTTCTATCCACTGCTTAATGTCCAAAAACACCCCTCTCCCGCGTAGGTAGCCTCTGTAAATTTCATTGAGGTGCTGACCACGGATCTACTTCACACTACCAACGGCAAGGGAATGATGCAAGTTCAGGCCACCGACCCTAAGGGACGAAGAGATTTAGGTAAATTATCATAAGTTTAGAGGACTTTTTGATGATTTTATTTGGACATGTTTGTTAAAATTTGGTGTTTTTTGTTCCTCTTGCAAAACAATTCTCAGAGGGAATGACGTCATATAGCTTCTGAGTGGTGGGAAGGAGACAACAACAGACTACAGCAACGTCGCTCTGCCTGCTCAATCCTCACCATTTCAACAACATCAAACGCACAAGTCCATCATTCCTTTGTCTTCCAAACTACTGTCAAACGTCTTCGCGATGAAACCCATCTCGCTGTGCCCTCACCGTCCCGTTGCTGATACTCATTTCCCTGTGCGTGTCCCAGACCTCAATCATTTCATCACCAACCCGATAACTCTTCTCCGCTCTCATGGGCATCTCTTCCCCGCCGGTCGTTGATCAAGCTGCAATCCCGACCAGTCGCGACTCGTCACCGAACTGCGCCATCACACACAGCCTGTCACTATACATCCCCCTGCTCAAGGCAGACACACCACCGACTTGGGCGGTCAAAACCCCAGCCCTCTCCAGGCAATCAGAGCGCTTTCTGCGAACATACAATATCGACACACAAACAGTCTACACTGGTGCGAAATATACAGTCAGAAGCGTGGAGATGGGCCTGTCACCGGCATAGGCAAATGATCGGGGAGGTGTTCTCGTTATCAGCGAACTTGAGCGCATTAACGACCAGTCAATTGCCGGCGGCAAGGATGTCAGAGCTGGCATGCCTTTATCCAAGTCACCCATGGACAGTCGCAGTCCCTATCCTCTCTCAGGTCATTTGGATTGATACAATTGTGACCCAGCCGACGAAACTCGTGGTCTAGGAGGCCATCCACGGAGAGGGAGCAGCGCGCACCCGAACCCAAAGATGGCCAAATACCCTTCGCCGATATCGACTTCTTTTCTACTGTCTTGCTTTTTAAAGCTTCTCTTGACTACCGGAAACTACCAGATTCTCACCCAGCAAGCCCGCCATCTGCCTGTTCCCTTGTCATCACCTCTCTGTTACTGCTATCTGCTGTGCTTTCTGTTCTTAATCTTCCTTTTCTCTGACTCCCGAAAACTCTTTTTTTCCGCCGCTGCCTCGTGGACTCTACGCCGACAGTAACACCAACCCCCGCGGAGAGTCGCCTGATCCGATGAGAGAACTGGATCCTGATACCAGTACACCTGAGCAGACAAATGCCAGGTACCAACTGTACAAACACGCATTGGAGAAGGGCCGCCGACTGGTCAACGACCTACGCGATACCACAAAAGTTCGAGGTGTTCACCCACCTCTAGATACCAAATACAAGATTGTCTATAGGGAGTACCGCTCGGTGGTCAAGCCCCTAAGCCCGGAACCAGAGAGATTTCTCCGACGAGAGAATATCGACACAAATGACCTCAGTTACTGTGAGGTCTATAGTATACCAGAATGGAAATACAACCACTGCGCGCTTGTCAAGACAGCTCCCCGGAGCGGAACATTCGTAGTGAGCGAACTTGAACGTAGGGTCGACTATTGGTATGTCTGGAGGACATCCCTGGAGGCCAGGATGTCTAGTGTTGTATCACCCCTTAACTGGCGACTAGTACCAGGTTCTCGCCCAAAGAGCCCACCATCTCTCCCTTTCCTTGACGTCGCCTCTCTGTTGCTGTTATCAGCCGTCTTCTCCCTTTCCGATTTTACTTCTTCTTAAATCCTGGAAACGTCCCCGCCGTCGTCTTTTCGCCGCCATGAGCGCACCAAACCCTCAAGGAAATACCCTAGATCCCGTCAACAACATAGACCCCGCGGGGAGTTCACCAACTGATTGAAGACCGCTATACTATAGAGCATGGCCAGTATGCTCCTGGCCGACAAATTTTCTCTAAAGAATCGGAAACATTTCTCCGAAAGGAGAATGTAAACACCAATGATGTTAGTTACTGCGAAGTGACCAGCAAGCCAACGATGCATAATCACTGCGCCCTGATAAAGACAGCTCCTAAGAGCTTGATCTTGGCGGTAGCGGAACTGAACCGACAGTTCGACTACTGGTTTATCAACAGGCCATCTCTGGAGGCCAGAATGTCCGAGATAATCTGGAAATGTTGGGACACTACAGTAACGGCGCAGTCCCTGTCGCCGACCCTTCTTCGACGGGTTTGGATCGACTATGTAATGAATGACGAAACAAAACTGGTGGTCTAGGAGGCCATCCACCGATCAGTCGCCAAGAGTACGAAGAAAATTGACGAAGCTGAGGAAATTAAATATATTTCTACCTTTACCCGACACCAAAATGCATTCTATGCTATTTTAGGGAGTTGCCTCGGGCGCATAATTATGCGCATGCTCTTTGATCACCAGTCGGAGCACCAAAAGTATGTGATTCAGAGGGTAGTTGTTCTTGGCAATGAGCTCTCGGGTTGGAAATTATGGCAGCTTTCGATAAATTTGACAAGATTATGATTAGGTTTATAAATTCTTAGGGCACTTTATGATGACTGAGGGTACTTTATGATGATCTTTGTGACTTTAGGCAAGTTTAGAGTAAACCTTGCCTAAGCTTAGGATGATTTCATGCTTCATTTTACAAGTCCTACGACTCACACCACACGCCGTAGTATCTGAGAGCCAGTGTATTGTCGCATGTGTTGTACCGCTTAGTTTCGTGAGACTGTTCTCGTTGTTGTACAAACCCCAAGTTGTCGACGATTGGCTCATCTTTGTTTTGACTTTTCAGGAGGAACCAGTTGATTTGCACGCAAAAAGTCAAAAGACTTTAAATTTTACAGGTTCTTGAATAGAACACCCGTTCTGGTGAAGTCAATGAACCTAGCTTTAGGCATCAAGGGCAAGAAGAAGGTCATTCTCCTGGTGTCAAAAGTCACTTCTCACTTTGACCAATAGTATCGTTCATGATAATGTGCACCGTGTAACAAACTCTGATATCTAGGTTCTCTCTGCCGGAATAAGCTCTTGGCCATAAGTCTTGACTGCAACAAAACCTTCTAATTTCAACAGCTATAAAATCCCGCCCTCGTCTCCCGCGAGCAAGTATCGGTTGCCATTCATTCTGGACACAAGCCCTCTCTTGCTCGTTACATTCTTTCGCCTTCATTTTAGAATACCCCTTTCCGCGACACCCAGACCCTTCGCAAACACATCGAGAACTTCCATCCCACCGAAACTTCTTCCATCACCAGACTCCCATCCCATTTCTCCATTTCATCTCACAACACACAATACCGACCATGGATCCCCAAACAGAACGCGATATTATACCCACCTATGAATCCGAACCACGTATTATCTGGATCGATAATTGCGACACCTTGTACAATCTCCTCTACGATCTCGATAATATCCCAAAGTTCAAACCGCGTCTCTTCATCACTATGGACAGGAATTATATCTGAAACAGAACCAGAATCTCCATTCTGCAGATCTACAACGCCGTTTCTCACCGCGTCTACCTCATAGATGTGTACTGGCTCGGCGCCACGACCTCCTGGCGAGTTAATTCGCGCATGACGACTCTCAAGGGTATTCTGGAGTCCAAGGATATCATCAAGGTCTTTTTCGATGTCAAGAAAAACTCTGATGCACTGTACAGCGAGTTCAAGATTAAACTCGCTGGGGTTCACGATCTCCAGCTGATGGAGCTCTTGGCCAGCGGGAGTCCTCACAGGCTGAGGGATATTGAAGATTGTTTCTGGAGAGACGTGTCTGGGCAGCAGCAGACAGAGTGGCGGCTTTGGGATCTTCGAGGAGTGGTTCCTTCATGGTGCTCTCATCGGATACGCGACCGTTGGGTGCAGATCTTGCCTACACTGTATGCTTGCTACGATGCCAAGCTACTCCCTGGGAAGCGGGCAAGCATGATCGCTACTTCGAACAGTAAGGTTGAATTCTCACGGTACATGATCCGTGATATGGAGGAACGGCGTCGTGCTTTTATGTGTCGTGGTGTTGAATGAGTTTAGATTTTGTTTATTGGGTGTTTTTATATGAATCTGGGCGTGTATAGTATCTGGCCAGGGACTGCCAGACTTCTCAAGTTGAAAGAGACTCCGCATGGATGAATATTATTGGAAGTACTGTGGAATGAATTGCAAGAATGGTATCCTACTAAATATATACAACGTTTCTACCAAGTGTTCTTCAATTCCCGAAACTCATCCTCGACCCATTCAGGGTTTCACCCCGGTAATAATCTAGAGCTTTCTATTGCCTTGTACGGAGTTGGCCTAGTTTTGTACGTCTCCGAGTCGATCCATCATGGCGCTTCTAGGACATGTTTAAATAAGCACTCGGCCTCTTTTTGACTTATGGGGTAGCATCACAAATTCATGAGCATAACCGTCAACCTGGTACCGCGCGCTTCGTGAAACGCCTCAAGTGTCAGGGTTATTTCGAGGGACATTCTTTCCCGCAGAACAAAAACACTACTTAAGATATGTTTGAGAATAAATAGCTCCATTTAGTCTGCGCTTAATTAATCAAACAGAATCTTCAGCATCTATTAACGAAGTGTTTGTTGGCAAACCTAGCTTATATAACTGTAACTCTCACCGTCGCTCTAACGCGGCAGTGCCAAGAGATCCAGCTAGGACAGTAAATCACCTCAATCCTCTTTCTTGGTTACCTCAGCCAAGATGCATAGCAAGACCAAGTACAAGATCTACATCGCTGCTTACAGGGGCGATCCAGTGGACTTTTCCAAGTACGGGTACACTGGACTCTGGTACGTGCCTGTTGACAATACTACGCACTACTTCTATCACGTCAAAGGCTTAACAGGGGAGTTATAGCTGCGAGTTCTGCCACTTGGACATGGCAATAAAATCGACGAGTTCGTCATGATACAGCTCAGGGAAAATATCTTCAGCATACTGTTTCCAGTCCTTATCAGAATTACGCTGGAAAAACTTGACATATTCCCAATACTCTGGATACCACCCGCTGTCCTCCCAGTCAACAAGTCCTTGAATCTTTTGGTCTTGAACCAGGATGTTCCTCGGCGTGAGATCGCAATGGGTAAAGACAACGCGATGATTGGTTCGCAGTCGCCGTGAGAAGGCTTCTCGCACGAGCGGGGGTGTGTGTTTGTAGAGGGACGATAGCAAAAACTCGTTGAAGGCCTTCTCATCACGACAAGGCGGGGAATGGTAGGTGAAGTATAGCCTCGTGTCCCGGATTTCGATGCCGTCACAAGCCCCGATAAGATGGGCGGGAGGAGTCAACGATCTCATCTTTTCTACCAGTTCCCGAAGCTGCCGCGTGATATCTTTCTTCTGTTGAACCGACATGTCGGGCCACAGTTTATCAAGAGGTTGGCCTTGTATATAGTCCATACGTATGTGACCCCGACCGTCAGGAGTTGTGTGCACTTCACGGACGCATGGGTCTGGTATTCCAGTTTGAGCAGCGACTTTCAGCGCCTCTGCCTCGCCCAGAGCTATACGTTTGCCAGACTTGGTAACAGTCTTATCGGCATGTAAGATGACTTTACGGTTGAACATCTTATGTAGAACCACAGCGCCTGCTCAGTCAGTTAAGCAAAAAGGTGTATCCTGGGCCATGCATAGACTGACCTGGCTCAATCTCATCCTCAGATTCGGATTCATCGGAGGATCTCGTTTGCCCTTTGGCCTTCCTCATCTTCCTTAGTTTAGCGTTGTAAAGGGATTCGCCCGGCTGTTTACCACGTGAACGCGACACGGTGTGCGTCGCTGAAGTCGGGGTTTGTGGATCCATTGTCCAGGCAAAGAGGGTGCAGTGGGGAAAACAGAGTTCCACGCACTGCATCGAAATTTGGTTATAATATAGTATGCTAATGGGGTTACCCGCTTCTTACATATAAATCCACCACAGATACCAGCCTTTTCTATGATCGGCTAAATCCTTAGGCCCTGACTGACTTGTCTTGGCTAACTGTTTTAATATTTTACTAAATTTATTATGATAAATTAAAACTATTAAAACAAGTATTACCTCTTACTATACCACTATTTTTATAACATTCTTCTTTCCGCACGCCGATTCGAGCGGATAACCAATATGCGCAAGTCCCGTTATAGCACGTCAATCCTCGGAGCCGGCACTTCTAGCTCCGCTTCTAGACACCCGATTACGGTAGTTCTCTTCCGAACTTTCTCTCACGAGGTTTCATCGTTCATTAAGGAGCGCTAGACCCATGTCGGAATAATTGGTGAAACATCCTTCATCCGAGTCATGATTGGAGGAATAACGAACACCCCTGTATCGATCCTACACAGCTCCGCGTATTTATGGTACAACAAAGGGATGGTCAGCTGTTACTTAAGAGAGAGCTATCCCATGAGCTAAGATTGACTATTCTGAGTTCTCTCACGATCGTCAAAATGGTACTCCTTCGATTCCTGGCTTTTCTATCCTACTATTCGGTCGCTTTGGCCTTGACCTACAAGGGCGTTGATTGGTCTTCTGTTCTTCTCGAGGAACAAAAGGGCATTCAATACACTGCCGGCGGTTCCGCACAACCTCTTGAGAAAATCCTCGCGGCCAATGGCGTCAACTCAGTCCGTCAGCGAGTCTGGGTGAACCCTTCCAACGGCGACTACAACCTCGACTACAATCTCAAGCTCGCCAAGCGTGCTAAAGCCGCGGGCCTGAGCGTCTACCTGACTCTTCACTTCAGCGACACCTGGGCTGATCCCGGCCACCAGGCTATTCCCTCCGGATGGCCTACCGATATCGATAACCTGTCGTGGAGACTGTACAACTATACTCAGCAGGTCTCCAACGCTTTCCAGTCAGCTGGTGTACCACCTGCGATTATCTCCATTGGTAATGAGATCACTGCTGGTCTTCTCTTCCCCACCGGTTCGACCAAATCCTACTACAACATCGGCCGTCTTCTCAACTCTGCGGCCTACGGTATCAAAGATTCTTCCATCAGCCCTAAGCCCAAGATCATGATCCATCTCGACAAGGGTTGGGATTGGGGTACCCAAGAATACTTCTACACTCAAGTCCTCAACCAAAAGGGTCTGACCCTCGGTGCTTTCGACGCCATGGGTGTGTCATACTATCCCTTCTATGGATCAGGTGCTACTTTCTCTGCGCTCGAGACGTCTCTTACCAACATGGCCAACAAATGGGGCAAGCAAATCTTTGTCAGCGAGCTTGACTGGCCCACGTCTTGCCCTTCGCCCGCTCAGCCTTTTCCCAGCGACATGAAGAACATTCCCTTCTCGGCTGATGGGCAGACTCAGTTTATCAAGAAGGTTGCTAGCATTGTTAGCAAGGTCAAGGGTGGAGCTGGATTGTACTACTGGGAGCCTGCTTGGATGAACAACCAGGCTCTTGGTTCTTCGTGCCCTTCCAACACTTTGTTCTCGTGGCCTGGAAAGGCTCTGTCAAGTCTTTCTGTCTTTAAGAGCATCTAGACGTGGCAAACCTCCCCAAAATTACCTTTGCTGTGATATAGTTACAAGATCAAGTACATATATTCATCTGATGTTAAAATCAAATGTTGGGCTTAATTGCGTTGTGAGCCTTATGCAGATTAGGGAAAATACGACAGGTCAATGTTGTCCATGTCGCGTAAAAAAACAATTCCAATACAATATTTTACAAAGTGTCTGCCTCGCTCAGCCGCAAACTGGTTCGCCCTGACACGTCACCCCGCACTCCACCAACTCAGCATTATCGTTTTTCTTTTTCATTCTCTCACTCTTCAAAATTTCCTCTAAATCCGATAAAATTCATCACACATTCCCAAGAGCACGCAAAAAATGTCGGGAGCCGAGGCGGCGATCGCAGGCATAGGATTTCTCTGCAATGCGATGCAGATCGTCACTTTCGGCAGAGATATCCTCCAAGTTTACAAACACGTTCGGGATGAACACAGCCCTGACCCCAGGCTGAAAGCTTATCTCGAAAACGCGAAAGCTTGCTTCGATGATATGAACAGCTCAACTTCTCAGGTTCTGCCGTCGACCCGAGACCAACAGCAGATAATTGACATCGGCAAAAAGCTGGAAGAGTCCATGACCCAGCTGCAATCAAAATTCTCCGAGCTTCATATTGATGATACATGCAGACGTGGATTCCGCGGAAAGGTTGATATGCTTCGAAAGGCTTTAGCATCTTTATGGCAAGGAAAGGAACTAGAAAGTCTTGAGACAAATCTCAAGAGATACGAGAGCCTTCTCCATGGTATCGTGCTGCACCGCATATGCAGCCAGTCACAGGCCGCAGAAATCAGCTCAAAAGATGTGTTTAACAAACTCGATACCGGCCTTCAATCAATCATTACACAGCTGGCTGATGGCTGCACACGGGTCTCCGAACTTTCAATCGAGTCACTCAAGACAAGAAACCTAGTTACCCAGGAGCATAAATCGACACGTGCAGTCATTATTGAAGGCTTCACCACTGCACAGGGTGCCATTTCCAGTTTCCGTGACTCGATGACCCAGGAACTTCAGGATATAGCCGGACGCGATCAGAGCAGGAACTTCGAGAAAGAGCACAATGAACTGCTCCAATGCATCCGGTTTCCTGAAATGAACAGCCGAAAAAATCACATTTCTGAAAACTATCCTGGAACCTTTGATTGGGTCTTTGAGAACCTGGACGATGATGAGGACCTGGACGATACGCTAGACTCACCAATGCCGGCCAATACGACAAGGCCAGCAGATCTTAATTGCTTTCCTGCCTGGCTAGAGTCGAGTGCCCAGCAGTTCTGGGTTAGCGGCAAGCCCGCTTCTGGAAAAAGCTCGCTTATGAAATTCCTTGCGATCAATCCCCTCACGTTGCAACATCTGCAAGCCCAGCATAGGAACATACAGATCCTTACCCACTATTTTTGGAAACCAGGGCAGCCACTGCAGAAGAATGTAGAAGGCATGACACGTTCCCTTCTATATCAACTGCTTCACAGAAACCGTGGTCTCGCCCAGCGGTTGTGCGCCGAACAGCCGACTATCCAAGATAAGAAAGATCATGGAGATTGGGATATGAATGAGCTAAAGAAGGCCCTCTGCTGGGCAATCAAGTTTTCAGGCAACACGTTTTGCATTTTCCTTGACGGACTGGACGAAGCTAAAGAATTCGAGGACCTACCGTTCGGTGACAATCAGAATACCCAAGTTATCTACGACTTGCTTAAACTCGATAACATCAAGCTGTGTGCATCCAGTAGGGAAGAAGATCCTTTTATCAGGTTTTTTGCAGGTCAACCCCGCCTAAGAACCCATCGGCTTAATGAGAACGACATCCGCCATTATGCAAAGAATAGGCTAGAATTATCTGGTCTATGTTCTCATCATCGCTTTCGACTTCTATTGACTGTCGTACAAAAAGCAAACGGCGTGTTCCTCTGGGTGGTCTTGGTAGTCAAGAGCCTCAATCAGGCGATACGCTCAGGGGGCACCAACGAATTCGAGGAACGACTCGCACAGACGCCATCAGATCTACACGACCTCTTGGTCGACATGTGGAGTCGCCCCGGAGATGAGGCCAAGTTATCAACTTACGAACTTGATGCTTCTCGCATCTTCAATTTAGTTCTTACGGCAACCAAGATCGGGGTTTCCGGCTATACTGATAGTTCCGAGATGATACCTTTTCATTGGATGCGATCCACACTTGTCATGGCTACAGCCCTGGAGGACAAGCCATTCCTGTCTGTATTAAGAGAAAGCGGACAAATACAAGTACAAGAGCTTCTGGCTAGATGTGCTAGAGTGCAGGACCGATTGCGGTTGGTTTGCCGAGGTCTCCTTGAAGTAACGACACCCGAAGACGTCGATCGCCCTTGTGCTGGAAACGAAGCTCTTTACAAGTATTCTCTGAGAAGGATCGATTTCATACACAGATGTGCATTCGACTTCATGACTGACACGCAATTTGGACGCCAATGTCTTACGCTCTGTCACTGGTCAACAATTGAACAAGTCGAAAGGTTGCTTGTCGGCCACCTAATCAAATCCCGATTTCTACGCTACAAGTCAAAGCGCTACGATATGCAGATAGCAGGCAAACGGACACGTTCGGGATCCAATTGTGAATTCTTCCGGCCTCCAGCGTTGAATATTTCCCTCAACTGGACCGATTACGACATGTATTTCCGAAATAGTATGTTCAAGGAACTGAGGGACTGGCAGCAGCGTGGATTATTTTACTACGATCACTTACATTTGGAGGGTTCGATATTGGCCCCATATCCTTCCAACTCGAGAGGGTTGGACTTCATTGAACATGTCGTCAGGACAGCCAATTCAGGCGCTCTTCTTAGCGATCTGCTAGACCAAGTGTCTGATGTTTCTCTGCTAGAGGCTATTCCTGCTCTGCTTTGCGCCTTGGTGAACTATAACGGGTCTATAGCAATGGGGTCGTGCTTGAACTTTGTTGACTACGTCCTAACCCGCCTGGAAAGTGAGACTGACAGAGGGCGGCAGGACGTTTCCTCGCAAGGTCAACGTGACGTGAGAAATGAAACAAGGCTTCTGCATTCATGGTTTGTGATGCAATGCCTCCACGGTATATCTACCGATTGGAGCAACGACAGGCATAAGATCATAGACCTACTGCACCGCTTTAGCCACACTCTATCTTTACCAAGTGATTGGCAGCGCCCGTTAGTTTTGGAATATGGCGTTAGTGATGATTTAAGCGTCCTTCCAAAGAGTGGCGAGGAGCATGAATTTGGATTCCGTCAATATACCCTAGCTATTGGTAATTTCGTTACTGCTTACCACTTACTTGGTCAACGGTTACCAGATCTGGTAGGCTGTGCTCTACACATCCGACCTCCGCAAGACGCCAAGGGACGATTTGAGATAATTGTAAACAGACTGAATGAAGATTCTTCGGATGGTGACAAGGATTCTTTTCACTTGCAGGAGGTTATCATCGGGGTTCGGGATATCGCCGATTGCATAAAAGAGAACCTGCCAGAAAGCGGCTTTTCTACTTAGAGAGCAAAAGTGGTCTATCCTGTTACAAGAGATGAATGCGGGCTTGAAATCGGGTAGGTAAGGATACAATGGGATTCGTATCAAGAGGTTAACAAGCAAGGCTTAAAGTTAATAGATTTTTGAGTGGATACAATTATAGATAATTAGATTGTCCTAGCATTAAATGTCACTTAAATGTCGGTCATCAATTACAGCCATCTCCAGGACCGGGCCCCGGTCTTCAACGATTCTAGCCATTTCTTGCTCAGGCGAGGGGTAGAGCAGGACCACCATATCTACTGTTTTGATGGTCGATGATCAACAACAATCCATGTGAGGGGGGAGCCCATTACAATCAATCAAACTATTTACCCTGAACCTCGCTCCTCCCCCCTGTAATTGGCTTACTCCAAACCAAATTTAATTCAAGGACGATCCCATCACCTTATCAACAATAACCTTCCTTCCTTATCTCCCTCACGAACTTTTGTCGCCCTCCCAAGAAACCAAGTCTTGGCCAACGCAACATAACACGGGGAACTTTGTAAAAATGGTCCAAAGCGGCAGGTCTAATACCCCTGTAGCATTCCACATCTAAACCGCTGCGGGAAGGCGCCTATCTCACTAGCCCCGTCGATCCCCGGTATAAGCTTAATCTCGTCCCGGAAGTTTATCCACTATAAGAACGCCGTGCAACGCCACGACGTGTTTTTGTTTTTCTTTGCTCCTCAAGGTTCTCTTCTGCAACCTCATTTCATCATGGTCGCCAAATTACTCGCCGCTCTGTTGGCGCTTGCCCCGCTTGGTCTAGCGATTGATCCTCCTCGACAGCCGCATCAACCTGTTGGTGAGGGTGATCGCCTACTTACTTTCAATGAGACGAGTCCAAGCGCTAAATTGAGACCTACTACCATGAGCGTAGAATGGTCCTCCGCTGGCCAAGACGGAAACTATATCGTTCTCAGTGATTCTGGTGATCTTGTCCTCGAAGACATCGTCAGCGAAAAAACAACAAAGTTCGTCACAGCCGATAAACTCCCCAAGGATCTGCACGAGTACTGGATCAGCAGCGACGCAAAGCGCGTTCTCATCGCGTCAAACTACACCAAGCAATACCGCTACTCGTATTTCGCAGATTATTTCATTCTCGACGTTGAGTCTGGCGAGAGTGAATCGCTCGTGAAAGACCAGGTTGGCGATATCCAGTATGCGCAGTTTGCGCCGAGTGGAGAAGCCGTTGTGTTTGTGCGGGGTAATAATCTCTTCGTTCGTGGGAAGGACGGCGATGTTGAGCAGATAACGAGTGATGGCGGCCCGGATATGTTTCACGGTGTGCCTGATTGGGTGTATGAGGAGGAGATTTACGGTGGACGCTCGGCGCTTTGGTGGTCGCCTGATGCCAAGTTCCTTGCGTTTCTGAGCTTTAACGAGACTGGTGTTGGGACTTTCACTATTCCTTATTACATGGACAACCAGAAGCTTGCGCCGACATATCCTCGTGAGCTTGATCTTCGATATCCCAAGGTTGGATCTAAGAATCCTACTGTCGAGCTCAACATTCTTGATCTTTCGAGCGGCGAGTACAAGGCTGTTCCTGTTGATGTGTTTGAGCCTGAGGAGCTCATTATCGGAGAAGTCGCTTGGGTCACCAAGGATCACAGCTCTCTCATCTACCGCGCTTTCAATCGCGTTCAGGACCATGATGCTCACGTCGTCGTCAACCCCGAGACACTCAAGTCAAAGGTCGTGCGCGAGCGAGACGGTAGTGATGGATGGCTTGAGCATACTCTCTCCATCTCATTCGTTGGTCCCTTGAGTTCCAAAAAGAAGGATGCTTACTACGTCGATGTTTCGGATGAGGATGGTTGGAACCATATTTATTTACATCCTGTCAATGGTGGAAAAGCTATTCAGCTTACGTCTGGAAAGTGGGAGGTTTCTACTATTCTCAACATCGACACAGCTAAGAAGCTTGTTTACTTCCAAGCTTCGAAGCGACACTCTACCGAGCGCCATGTCTACAAGGTCTCGTGGGAGACTAAGAAGATTACTCCGCTCGTTGATGATAAGACTCCCGGTTACTGGTCTGCGTCCTTCTCCTCCAGCGGTGGTTACTACATTCTTCACTACCAGGGCCCCGACGTTCCGTACCAAGAGCTATACACCACCAACTCCACCAGCAAGCCTGTCCGCACACTCGTTGACAACAAGGCTTTCTACAAAAACATCAATCAGTACAGCATGCCCAACATTACATACTTTGAGCTCAAGCACCCTGATGGTTACTCCCTCAACGTCATGCAGCAACTCCCCGTCAACTTCGATCCCGCTAAGAAGTACTCCGTTCTCTTCACTCCCTACGGCGGTCCCAACTCCCAGCGCGTCGCAAAGTCTTTCCAATCTCTCGGATGGAAGTCTTACATCTCGTCTGATCCTGAACTGCAGTACATCGTCTACACCGTGGATAACCGCGGAACAGCCATGCAAGGCCGCAAGTACCGATCGCTCGTTACATCTCAGCTCGGAAAGCTCGAACCTCTTGATCAGATCTGGGCTGCTGAAGAGCTGATAAAACGATACAGTTTCATCGACGCTGATAAGATTGGAATGTGGGGATGGTCGTATGGTGGATACCTCACAGCCAAGACCGTGGAAGCAGACTCTGGAGTGTTTAGCTTCGGTCTCATCACAGCTCCTGTCTCAGACTGGCGTTTCTATGATTCCATGTACACCGAGCGCTACATGAAGACACTCGATGAGAACAAGGATGGATATCTCGAGACAGCCGTGCACAAAGTCGATGGTTTCAAGAACATCGCTGGTAGTTTCAGCATTCTTCACGGTACTGGCGATGATAACGTTCATTATCAGCATGCTGCTGCTATGATTGATCTTCTCGTTGGAGCTGGTGTTTCGCCTGAGAAGATGAAGATGTTTGCGTTCACGGATAGTGATCACAGTATTGTGTACAACGGCGCTTCGCCTTGGATTTACAAGTATCTTACTGCGAGGTTATATGATGAGGTTAAGAGACAGCCCAAGGCCAAGGCGTTGACACATCAGTGGAACAAGAGACGGGTTGAGATTGTGGCATAGGGGCCTTTATGGTTTGTTCAGATTGATAGAAGAATAGAAAGTTTACACCACACAGTAATTCGTTGCCTGCGTTTGTGAGAACCAGCCGTGTCCCTCAATCTAACTGTTCGAGGATGATCGCATCATCATAAGCTTTAGGGTTCCTTTTGCTGATCTCATGCTAAGTTCAGGATCCTCAAGATTAAAGTTCGGCCTAAGCTAGGATACTTGGGCCTAAGTTTAGGACTTAAGTATAGCACTCATCGGAATGGCTTTGCAAAGCTCAATCTTAACTAGATTACTCACTACTCTCCTCCTCTTCTATCATTTGGTGACGGCACTGAGGAGTGGATTGGACAGGGCCCTGGCGAGAAAAACCCTGCCGAGCAAAACAAACGATGATACATGGGGGGTCAGATTACTGGCGTCGATGCATCATAGCAAAAGTTTGGCGGTGAGTCGCTCCGCTCAACCTGCTTTGCTACGTTGTCGAGAGGATCACAAAACGGAAGGGGTAGTCAGCCCATTGAGCACCGCAGTGAAAATGCCAACTTCACTGCACTCCCGGGGATACTCTATGGCGAGGTGGCCCGGCCCGGCCTGGCCTGGACTCGGTAGAGGAGGGTAGGGTGTTCCGGATAGAAGCAGGCTCCAGGATCTGGAGCACAGGAGCAACGCCGGTCGGATCACGAAAGGTAATTCGGCAAGGGTTTGCTTAGAAGTCGAGGGAGCGGAGCGCGGATCCGAGTTCCTTAAAGCATTTTATAACACGCTAGCGTTGGAAGGGGGTGACTTTATGGTTAACCTGATCCTAGTAGTACTGGACTATAGCCTTCAGTTCCGGTGGGATCCAAGAAATAATAAGCGGCTATTTAGAGAATCTTCAAAGTCAGGAACGGCAGTGCAATTTTTATGGCTGTAAGTACACTAAGTGTAACAAGTCTCTGTCTCGTCAACCACGCAAACAAGACGGTCATCTCGGTGAATGGTAAGCTCGCATCTAAGGCAATGAGACCCGCCAGGACCAAGACGAGCAAAGGTAGCTTCTAGATCAAACTCATGCTCTTCAAGAGCTGCAATCGCCGCAGAAGGAACGGACATCGTGAGGCCAAGTGTCGGAGATCAGAAAAAGTCGGGGAGGTTTTGCGCTGCAGAGGGAAAATGTTGATGCACAGTGGGATAGCTGAGGAGATATAACGAGAATGAGTAGGAAAACTCAATAGTGAACAAGAGGGAGCATTTCCCCCTCCTTGACAAGGCGGTGGGGTAGACTCAGGTCTGCTGCGGAACAGTTAGATAAACATCTGAGACTGACACTACAGCTAAGTAAAAACGATTTCATTGATTCTTTTGCAATTCACGTATGGGAGAGCTCACTACCAGCGTTGTATCAGACTGCTACCGAATGAAGAGTATACAATGTCATACGTAGATGCCTGAAAGAAAAAGTGAGGATTTTCCTGTATGCTATAACATCTGAGTTGAGAGGTCAACTCGACGATGAGGAGCTCCGTGTCTCCCAGCTAAAAAGTCGTCCCAATGAAAACATACTTCTCGTCGTGCTCGCAGTTGCGTTACTCCCTCTTCTCTCCGCTCTAGCCTTCTTCTCCAACCTCTCTATCTCCATTGCGGGATCAAGAGACAGGAACTTATTCACCGCCTTGCTCGACGAGTAAAACTTTCGAAGTTCCTTCCTGGCCGTGTTTCCATCAATGTCCTGCTGGTCCGGATCTGCACCCTTGGCACGCAAGTGTAGGATCATCCGCTCTCTACCCGTCAATGATATTCCGGCGCAGGATCAGCAAGCCAAGATCGGGCATACTCCAGTGTTGACTGATACGTTCACGTGCGCTCCTGAGTCGAGGAAGCTCCTCATAGTTCTCAGGTTTCCCTGCGCACATGCTATAAACACTGCCCGTTTTGTGATTTCGTCGACAGACCAGTTTAATAGCATTAAATACATGCGATTGTGCGTCTTGGAAGTATGCCTTGGGGAGTTATATGACATCTCTTGAACCATCTTTCCCGAGTTGCCATTTATCCAATCCAAGCCCAATTCTCTAAAAGCATAGACGAATGTACCGACTCACTGTCTTGGACTAATCGAGATTGACCATGGCTGGTGGAAGGACCTCGTTGTCTCTTTCCGGCAAGTTTCATAAGTTCAAAGAGGACTGGGAGAGATGGATAAGACGGCAAATCAAAGAGCGCGGCGGTGATCGAAGCGTGCTCTGTGGGTATCCTGCCAACTGCTGTTAATATTCGCCGCCCTGGCATACAAATAGCCAACACCATATCCTTAACAGAAGTCAGACAGGCCCTTACTATTCTTACTAAGCACCTCCCTGACATAACTGTTAATAAACTAGAAAGACCATTTAGCATCGCCCAGAGCCTCAACTACTACACCATTGCCGAGGACTCCGAAGTCCAATGCCCAGCGACCTCGCCGAGGATGAAAAGACGTGCATTCGTGATGAGAGAGAGCATGTCTTCTCTCATCCTAGAATGCCAATCATAATCATCACTGTGTCTCTTGCCGCTTCCTGCAGGGACATGTTCGAGCTTCAATCCACGCGGCCGATATCTGCGCTATGCATACTTCAAACCCTCTGCACCTACCAATAGGTGATGAGTCTTGGACTTCTGGGGCCATGAACGCAAAGCCGTGCTTGACTGCAGCGCTACTGGGTTCGCCCATGTCCCTTCCCATCAATATCTGTATTGGCAGTCGAGGCACACTCACTGTTTCTGCCTTGTTGATCATTACATATTCCATTGGCTCTGCGTTCTGTCAGGCATGGCTCGAACTACTGGTGGTTCGAATCATCGCTGGTATTGGCGCATGCATCATTATACCTTTCGGTAGCTTCTTTCCAGTTAGTGAATGGACTAACAAATATCCAGCAATGGGTATCAAAGCAGTGAGTGCGATTCTTCCCGTATCCAATGGCCGTCTCTAGTACCGCTAGGGTTGCATGGTATCCTCACGGGGTCTGTCATCAACATGGTAATAGCGAGTACCACTGGATACTTGGACAAGATGAAGAAAATAGACCGCGACTGGTTCTTCGCCTTATTCTGGGTCTAGCCGTTCCAGCGCTGTTACAACCCATCTCCGTGACTAGGTGCTATGAGAGTCCACGATCAAATACTAGTCTTGTTGGTGCGGGAGACAACATCTTGAAGACCTTGGGTGTTTGGTATTAAGCTAACCTTTCTAAGCTAAGGGATTAAAGCTTTTTATATAACTTGAAGACTAGCTTAAGAGTTATTATTTAAGTTCTTATAATATAAGGTTTATATTATAGCTATTAGTTAGTTATCGTAGTATTAACATTTAAATAGTAAGCTAAAAGTGTTATTTATAGGTAAAATTTATATCTAAAAGCTTATTTAGGTAGGGAGAACCTACAGAGTCTATAATACTATATGCGCTCCGAGACTCCTAGCTACAACATCGTCCGTGCCTTTCAAATTCCTCTTAGGATTAGATCTCATCTAGTAAGTGCTGACTCATTGGCCGCCGTCAGTTATGTTGACTGAATTTGGTCAGCTCTTCGCCTTGGGTGATCTCATCCTAATCTGGTGGCCCAACCAGCCCCAGAGGAGGGTGTCTGACCAGGTCAATATCATGGGAAAAAATCAAACCACTTTCACCTATATAGGGCGCGCCGAAGCATCCTCAAAACTATCGAGGCTGCAGTACTGGACCCTTCCCCAGGCAAGACTCTTGAGGAATGGGGTGTACAGCACCTGAGTAGTCTCACTAGCACAGCAGTTATGTGGAGGTACGTTAGGGACCACTCTTCTCAAAGTCTACTAACAGCTTCTAGTTAATGTTTTTGCATTCTACTCCAACAAGATGTTCATTGGGACGTACGACAACCTCAAGGCAACTTTAGCATACAGTGTCGGATTCGATACGTGGTGTCTTATGAACCTCGCGTCTGGCAATGACTAATCAAGGCGTAGGTAGTGTGAATTCTCTATTCAAACTACTTGCTCTGAAGCAAGTAACCTCTCAGCTGTATTTTACTTACCTAAAGCTAACTAACGCAAGATCTATCGACCACTTAGATGGCTATTTCAATAAGCCTGTTCCTTATTACAGCAGCTATTATATACAATAATGACTTTTTAAAAAGCATAAAGGCTCAGAACATTACAGGAACAGTCTTGATATACTGTAAGTTCTCGCAATTAATATATAAGAGCTTTTCTAACCTAATACAGGTTTCGGGGCTACTTATATCCAGGGTTTAGGTAAGTGACCCGTACCTACAAACCAGAAACATCTCTAATAGCGGTTTAGGACTAATCCTATCTACTTTAGCATTTAAAAGGTAAGTAGCCCTACCTTTAATAATAATATCTACAGTAACATTAACTTAACCAAGTTTCTAGTTATCTCATCATAAAGCAGTAAGTCCGGCTAGATCCACCATCAGCCAATCCTAAGACAAACCAGGGTACTTTAATAGCTATCACTATATATCTCTTCGCCGGCTTTTTTCAATTCTTCTACCAGAGATCTATGATACTTTCCACGAAAGAGAACTACTAGGTGTCCTCTCCGTTCTCAACGCCATTACGTTCATTGGATTGAAGAAACAAGCAGTAGAAGTCTAGAAGACCTTAAAAAGGTCTATAAGCACTCAAAGATCCAACCAATAACTTAGGTATCGCATTAACAGCCCCCATTATCTCATCCAGAAGTGGTTTCCTTTAGAGCAGCAATATTAATAAGCCTTTGTGTTATGATAGCTATGGCGAAGATGGGTACGGTAGTGACTCGGAAACAGATATGGAGAGCTTGAGTAAGACGAAATAAGTCTGGTGGCATTGCAGATGAGAGTACCGCTCGTTCTACCAAAAGAAACGATAGCTAATACCGTACCTGACTTACTTAGCTTAACGCATGATGATACAAGGTATTGAATTGCAGGGAGAATGCCAACGTGGCATTAAGTAAGATGAAAGAATTCAAAATTCTACATAATGTCAAACGCTATGCCTCCGCAAAGTTCAAGTGCTTTATAAAACTTTCGGATCACGGATCTGTTTCGCATCTCGTGGTCTTGTGTATGGCTCACAGGTCTTGACCAAGCCAGAAAGCTAGGACTTCATCCGATGCGGCCAATGTAGTTCTACTTGGGCAGAACTACTTTGCTGCCTGAAGATTGATGGGGAGGGCGGAGTTGTAGCCAATCACCTTATGACAAGACAGCGAGTGATATACATCCTGCGTTGGCGGCATGCAGGCGCCTCAGCCGAGCATTTCCGCTTGGGGTACTATATATGGGCACTGTGCCGTGTGCCTACTCTGCCCAGCTTTCCTTCGGGTATTTCCAACTTTACCCCTCTTGAGCTATTTATCCTAGGTCGCCTATCCCTCGCCAGTTATCCAGACAAGTCCGTTGCGACGTATAAGCTGGAAAAGGACTCCCTCAAAACATTCCGTCGACAAGGTCTACTTAATACTGCAAGACGAAAAAGCGACCCCGAACGACGGAGATCGAGTAAAATGGCTGGCTTAGTCGATAGCACGAATAACGAGGGCCAGGACAAAGGTCGGACACCGCTGGCGTGCGCAGCAGAGGCCGGCCACATCGTGACCGTTGCGAAGCTGCTCGCAGGCTCACCCGAATTCAATATCGACATAGACGCACGCGACTACGATGGTTGTACGCCCCTCACGATCGCCTCCCAAAAGGGACATACCGCTGTGGTGGAGCAGTTGCTTGCCCATGGTGCCAACCCCAACTTCCGAGACTTCAACCAGATCACACCACTATGGCACGCGGCTCGGCACGGCCATACACCAATCGTTCATTTGCTACTGAATAGTAGGCAAATATCAGATGTCAACTCGCGACCTATCTGCCCCCAGGAGAACAGGTTAGATACACCCCTATCTATCGCAATCAAGAAGGGTCATCAGGAAACGGCCGAGCTGCTATCACGCACAGATGGCATTAATCCGTGCCTAAGAACAGGACTATCCGCTGAGACTTACTGGGACAACCTCAGTATATTGGGCCTTGCTATTCGTAGCGCATTTGAAGATGTGGCCTTGGCTCTCTTGGATAAGTGCAACCTCGGGCACGACAATGAAGATGCTGACTCCGGTGATGATGGCTCTTGCGTCGAGGATTCTGACGAGAATTTCTCTTGCGCCAGTGGCTCTGATATTGATGGCTGTGATGCTGAAAACTCTTCTTCTGAGGGTGTTGATGGATACGGCACTGATGGTTCTTGCGCAGAGTATTCCGATGCCAAGGACTCCAATGCTGAGGGCTCCGCTGGTAAGAACTATGATAATCACATATTTGACAGTAACGGTACCAAGGAACCCATGGAACCTGTATCGAAGCTCCTGGTTCTCGCTGTGGTGGCTAGTTGCTCTCGAATTGTCCAAGAGCTTTTGACCACGTACTGCGCCGATGTCAACGCGACTCATTCATATTACGCAGGAGAAGCGCTGAGTTGGGTTAAAGATAGCCCACTGATGGCAGCGTCCAGGCGGGGCGATCTTAACACAGTCCATTTGTTGCTAGGTCTGGACGAGATCAGACCCGGCGTTAGTTCAGACCGTAGCGACTCGGCACTTGCCGCTGCTGCCCAGGGCGGCTTCCTTGATGTGGACAAGACACTGGTTGCCAATGGCAGAATTGAGGTTGACTGTAAGAATGAGGAAGGGCGCACCGCTCTTTCGCTTGCAGCCGAGAGTGGTTTCGAGGCTGTGGTGGCAGAACTGCTAGCGACTGGAGCAGCCGACCCGAATAGCCAAGACAACAAGGGGCGAACGCCACTTATCTGGGCCACAGATCCTACAGGTGGATATGGTCCTGGTGGTTGGCAGCTGCGTGAGGGAGTGATCAACAGGCTGCTCGCCAATGACCAGACTGTTGTTAATACTGAGGACTCAGAAGACCAGACAGCACTACTATACGCGGCTAAAAATGGTGCCTTAGGACTTGTCGTGGCTCTTCTCGGTCACCCTGAGATTGATTCGATGGGAGGATCCGCGATATGGTCGCCGTTGGGAGAAGCAGCCACAAAAGGCCACGCGGACGTGGCCCAGACACTGCTAGCTAAAGGGAGGGTTGACGTTAATACTGTATGTGATCTGTTTGGAAGTACAGCACTCATGCTTATGGCCGGTTGCTGTGACGCCGAAGACGACGTCAGTACGGCTCAAGTGCTGCTTTCCGCTCCCGAAATCGATGTAGACTTCCAGGACGACCGCGGTAAGACAGCATTAATGGGCGCTGCATCTAGAGGCGCAGCTGGGATGGTCAAGCTTCTTTTGGCTTCTGGGGCCGACCCAAACATGCAAGATCACGATGGCAACACGGCTATCTCACATGTGCGGAAAATTGAGATAATGAAGGCGCTTCTCGAGGCTCCGGGGATCAAGCCCGACCACCCCAACAACGAGGGGCGGACAGCACTCTCTCTCGCTGCAGAGGCTGCCAACATAGAGTGTGTTAACGGCCTTCTTTCAATCGAAGACGTCAATCCTGACGCGCGGGATATATACGGTCGAGGCCCGCTGTCGTGGGTTTTTGAGAAGAATGGTCTCCAGTATGGTTGGGCAAGAGAAGAGCGGAAAGAAGTATTGCAGCAGCTGCTTAGGATTCCCACAGTTGATCCTAATGCTGAGGACAATTATGGCAGTACGCCGCTCCTTCTAGCGATTATGTCTGACCATGGCAATGAATATGTCGAGGTTCTGCTGTCTCGGCCAGATCTCGACGTGAATCAACCCCCAATTGAGGGCACTGACAGCCCGCTCGATACTGCAATGAAAATAGGCAATATGGACACCGTGGCACTCTTGCGCGCCAGAGGTGCCACGGATTCAGTTGAGTCTGTGAAACCTCGTAGTTCTGGGAAGAACTTTGTTGTTGATGAGGGCGGTTCACCTAGTGGAAGATATGTGTTTGAGTACATCCCACCACAGCAGCGACATCGTCGGTCACTATCTCAGGAAAGCGGAACTAGCTCCACAAGCTTTGAACCTGATTATGACCACCGACCTTTCGTGACACATGGTTTTGAAGGTGTTTTACGATGGGAACTTCTCAGGGAGCACCGCCTGCGTCTAGGCCAGCAACAGACCTACATCGACGAGTTGGCAAAAAGTACAACAGGCATATGCGCGTCATGCTCAGCTATCGACTTAGGTTCCGTGTTTTGGACACGCCATACAGATTACCGAGGGCGGGTGATCGCCGACCTAGGTAGAGTCGACGAGACTTGGAAGAAGAGGTCTTGTCCTCTGTGCCGCCTGTTTGCTACTGTATATCCTCGTACGAGCCTCAGGGAAGGGCACAAGCTAGTCAGCTTCTCCACGATACAATCTTGGCTCTGCCATGCAGAGAAGACCCACTGGCTCGACCTTCGATACAAACGCTTCGTCGACACTATGTTACTTGCCGTTGTGCCTGCCAGCACATTGGTTGCTGGCGAGGTGGATCCAGTCCAGTCTTATTCTTGGTGTGAAAGTCCACCAGGACGTGACAAGGATACTGTCAAAGCCGCTTTCTCTTCTGGCGTTATTGGCCGCCTCGGCAGTAATGGTCCATCTCAAGGCGCTGTGACTATCATGCAGCTCGGTACCGAGATAATTGACTGGAGTATAGCCAGAAATTGGATAAGTTTGTGTCGCGAGAACCACAGAGGGGGGTGCAACCCACGTAGAGCAGCCACTGTTCCACATTTATTTCTCATAGAGTGTTCAGCACGACAGATCATAGAACACTGGGGGTCTCAAACTGGCGATCCACCGCCATATGTAGCTTTGAGCTACGTATGGGGCAAGTCGCAAGGTAGTCAGCAATCGGCGAAACAGAAGCAGCAGGACAGCCTCGGCAGAAAGGGAGACGGGTCAGTGGATCCAACTATCGAGGACGCCATGAGCGTGACACTAGAATTGGGCTATACGTATCTATGGGTAGATCGATATTGCGTTGTGCAGGAAGGGAACGAGGCCGTTAAGCAGGAGCAGCTACGACATATGCATCTTGTTTATGCCAATGCCGAGGTGACTCTAATTGCAGCCGCTGGTGAGGATTCATCAGCTGGCTTACGCGGTGTCCCAGGACGCCCGAGAAACCGGCAACCCAGTGCCTTTATCCAGGGCCACGCGCTGGCAAGTATTCCTCCAGATCCCTCCCACCACGTGGGCTCCAACTCCACCTGGGCAACTCGAGCATGGACATATCAGGAGGGACTACTAGCACGGCGTCGTCTTTACTTCTCAGAACATGAGATGTCTTATGAGTGTCGCAACATGCTATGTCGTGAGGCAATTCGATTGCCTCGTGGCTTTGAGCAGCGTATATCTGGACACAAGCCGCGTTTCATGGAGCCCTTTTGGATGTATCAGCCATACAGGCTTCCCGGGATGGACACATCCCATACTGGTATTGGTCTCTTTGACCTCTTGGCTGTTTATAGCAAACGACAGCTTACCTTGGAATCAGACACCCTCAATGCCATGCTTGGTATCTTCAATTTGGTTGCTCAACACAAGACAAGACCTATTTACCATATCTGCGGCGTCCCCATTCTACGCCTCGACGACCCTCGCCCTGGCACAAGAAATTGGGGACAACGAAAGACCAAAGTATCTGGCGACAACTGTGGTACTGATATAAACCCCGCTGTAAGCCTCGGTGGCTTTGTCGACGGGTTGTGCTGGCGACTTGAAGAGACTGCCCATCGACGGCCAGGTTTTCCGAGTTGGTCATGGACAGGATGGCAGGGCGTGGTCACTGGCGCGGAACGGCATATGGATCCCATAAAGCAAACTTATGGATTCGCGATAGAAGTATCAATCATTCCTGACGGCCGAGAGCACGCGGTCGCAGTGCCGTGGAGCCGCTGCTATAATCAATTGCGGATGGTCGACAAGAGCGATCCGGATATTCGAACCGGACAGAAGCATATACTTGAGATCACGGCTAGCGCCGCCACAGTACGATTTCGGAAGGGAGAGTATGACGGACGGCCCGATACGTGGATCGGTATGGTAATTGCTGGCGAGGACGTATGTCAGGGTGAGTTCTTCCTCACCAGCAAGGATCTGCCTACGTCGTCGCTGCCACAGCAGCAGTGGACAGGCATAGTATTAGGAAATTCGGAGGATATGGAATACCTCGCCCACGATAACGACAAGAACGGATTCTTCCTTCACCATACGATTGTGCTCATTATCCAAGAACAGGAGCGGAAGCAGCGGCATGGGCAGGGCCACAAGTATTACGAGCGTATTGGCCTTCTGACTCTTGCGTATTGCCCCCTAAATGGCAGTATGTTAGAACGTCGGACCCGGCGGGTTATGTAATGTAGCTTAAAAGAATTGTTATTCCTATTCTTGCGAAGGTTATACGACGTGGACAATCATGCCGAATTTGAACCTGGTATCGTTGTGTGGCAAGCCAAGTCTTTAGGCCCTGATCCAATCGATACGTTCAGCACACTCGATACGATCTATATAACCAGGCCTACCTAATTAGGTCACGTGACTAACCTGTCTTATAAGGTCGGGCCCTACTCCGTACAGCCTGTATAACTAACCTAGTGTCGCGTACCCACATTCCGCGCACACCCCCCTTCCGTGCACCACCTTCAATTATCGTGATGACTTCAATGTATAATATCTCAATCAATTCGTACGTAAATTAAATAGCGCAAAATGGCATTATGATCGCCTCTCGTCTGGGATTACAATGGTATCATTCTTTTTCCTAGATTCCTCCTTTTTCAGCCTCCCTCTTCCGCTTCTTTGTAAGCCTCTCGTTTTTCAGCTTTCGGGCATGTTGAATCTCCTCGCGCCCCGGATAACGGGCTTGGGGGTGCCAAACGACCTTCTGTCGAGGCTGTGGCTTTTGCGAGTCTATTTCCATCTGTAAGAAAGTTGATTTCTGCCATTCTATGGTGTTTTAGGCCTTCAAACGATCCAGCTCTTCGGCTGCCTTGGTCCCCAGGTAACGGAGATTCCTCTCATACCCTTCCCTTTGCGATTGGAGCTCCTGTAACTGAGATAATAGCTCATTTCCATTCTTCGGTGTATACGGCATAACCCGTGATATTACCCTTTGGTGTTGAGGGGTCCTGGGGGCGTCATTTTGGGCCGGTGCTTGGTCAGCTGTAACAGCGTTTTCTAACGCCCTTTTTAACGAAATTGGCCAGATTCCAGCGCCTCTAAAGCCTACTTGTATATTATGCGCTGTAATTGCTTTATCTGTAGCTTTTTTATATATCTGAATGAAGCGCTGTTTATGAATTGGCGCCGTGGCGTTGAAGCCGGCATACGGCTTCGCGAGCCGCTTGAAAATTGCCTTCACAGGGCCAAAAACACCAACGTCAAACGGTTGAGTGGCATGTGAAGAATGCGGCGGTAAATATAGGATCTGTACTTTATGAAATAATGCCATAAATCGGAATTGAACAGAGACGTGACCGGTGAATCCATCGACTATAAGAAGTCTCCAATCGAGCGGGTTTTCGGGCTTCGTTTCCGGCAGGAAGGTCTCCCGCAGCCACTTCAGACATATGTCTTGAGTTGCCCAGCCCGGCTCACTGATATCATATCCCCAATCGGGAAATTCCTCTAGAAACCACTGTTCTTGGAGACAATCTCCCTGGAAAACTACAGTCGGACGTAGTCTTCTTCCTTCTGCGTTTCCTGACTCCAAAATCGACACCCAATTGCGCCAATCGCTCTCTGTAACGATAGCCCGCTTCGTGATATCATCACCAAGGACCTTCCCTGACTTCGTAAGCCCTTCCTGAAGTCCGTATTCATCCATATTGTACATCCTCGCCGGTCCAATCCCCAATTTTTTAACAGTTAACAATAACATATCGTAGAAGCGTCAGAGGAGGATGGGAGTAGTATCGTTAGAACAAGCGGCTTCTAAATGTGTAGATGGCTTCATTTTAATATCCTTATGGCGTCATAGGAATCTGTCTGGCCAGTTGCGCCCGATGGTGATTCCAATCGCGTCAGGGTTCGTGATCCCGTTGGCGAGATCACGTGGGTCACTTCTCGAAAGAGCGCGCCCACAACGCTCTTCGTGCCTTAAAAAGTCAGCAATTTCCTTCTCTTATATAGGCAATAGCAATTGACGGCTTTCCTGACCTTTTCGATCTGTCTGGGCGCCTTTCAATTAACCACGGAGCGTAGACTCGTTTTTCCCGTATAAGGTTGCGCAATGGCGCAAAGACTTGCCATTTTTCAGCCGTTCTTTAATTTCTTTGAGATTATTCTGTCGAGCTTCTTCAGGAGTCGCCATGGTGAAAATTTGGATTTTTTCTGATATTATTTAATGGTGTTTTGAGAAGAATTACAATTAAGGGGTTGGGAAATTACGGTCGCAGGGAGTGCGCATAAGGTGGGGGAGCGCGGAATGTGGGTACGCGACACTAATAGGCCTAGCTTGGTACCTATGGGTTATCCAAAGTCACTAAAATTGGTACAGATCGTATCGAGTGTGCCGAACGTATCGATTAGATCAGGGCCTTAGTGACAAGTTTACCCACGATCTGTCTTAAGAGGAAGATCAACATCAGTCTCGGGTATCTGGCTCTCGACTGTGGAATTCCCAGCCTCAGGAGCAGTGGCATCGGCGTCAGTGGACGAAGCAGCATCCTCCGTAACAGGATCAGCGACCTCAACTGCAGGAGTATCAACATCAATCACCGCCCCGTTCGCCTAATGCTCACCACTGCTTATCCAAACAGGCTCCCTCTTCTCCAAAAACGCAGCAACACCCTCCTTCGCATCCTCACTCCTCGCATGCAACGCCATAACCCTAGCCGCCCACTGAGCAGCCTGCTCATACCCATCACCCCACGTCCTTCCAAATCCAAACTGCGTCCAGTACGCCCATTTCCCTACGGCCTGCTGCGGCGGCGACATCAAAAGCAACCGCTCAACCACATCAACCACACGTTTCTCCAGAGCTTCCTCAGGGTCTTGCCCCGGTAAGACTTTGACAACGTCGACGGCCTCCGGGTAGTCCGATGCTTTAATTGGTTCTGCCGTCGCGAGCATTCGGTATGTTGCGCCAGGGGGAAAACGTCGTGAAATTGCCGTTGAGGGACTCGTGCAAGGTAATCCAATCTTTGCGCCTGGCAGGGCAAATTGTGTGTCTGGCAGAGCAATGGGGAAGTCGGTGCTCATGGCGAGTTGGAACCCAGCTGCTGTGGCGAGGCCTTGGATCGGACAGACAATCGGCACAGGACTCCTCCGAATAGTCATCATGACTTGGGTACAGAGGTCAAACAGAGTCTTGACATCTTCCCGACTCATCTGCGACAGCTCCTTCAGATCATGGCCGGACGAGAAGACAGGGCCTTCGCTCCGAAGGACCAGAACATCAGGTAAACCGGCACGCTGTTTCTTCCATTCAGATGCGCTGACGAGCCAGTCCCACCTCCTCCATTCCTCTGAGGTTTGATCTCGTTCTTGAGACGCTTTTTCGAGCTCTTTGAGAATACCAGGGAGTAATCTGGGTAGCAGGCCTGCTCGCCCGCTGGGTCTCAGCGTGAGGGCGCTGTCGAGCTGGGCTTTGAGGTCTCTGAGTACGGGGATGCTGAGAGCGTTTCGCTTGGTGGGGTTTGAGAGTTTGATGTAGGCGGCTCTTGGGGGAAGCTTTGGGAAGGGCATTTTGGCTGAATTTATAATAGATTCGTATTTATGTGGTGCGAGATTGTGGACTGGGACGATGAAATTGGTGGTTGATGTATGATGTGAGGTTAGAACTTAGTGGGTAACCCCGCATTTTCTGTTGGCCACTCAACCTCGGGCATGACATCCCTATAACCGTGATTTCATGACATGATACAACAAGAAGGTCAATGCAGTGATAAACATAGGGAAACTACCAGAAACTAAGATCTATTTATCTCTATTATTCCTTCTTCTCCTCGTATCTCGGATTTCCTCTCCCTCTCTTCTCCATAATCGCCCTCGTCTCCCCTCTCGTCCCCTCCGTAACCTTCATCCCCATAACCCTCTCATAAAACGGAACACTCTTTTCCCAATCGCCCGTAGCAAGCATACTCTTTCTCAAATGAGGCATTGACTCGGCGACTTCGTTTACGCATTCCATCAGCCACGTGCCTAGTCCTTCGCTGCGGTAGGCGGGGGTGACCCAGACGTCGGTTATGTACAGAACTGTTGTGAAGTCTGTGATGCAGCGCGCGAAGCCGATGAACTTGGGGCCGGACACTTTCTTCTTGATAGGGTTGCCGGGAGATGGCGGTGGAGAGTCTGTGTCTGTGTCGTAGAGACCGAAGCAGAGGCCATTGTCGAGCATTTCGCGCGTGGCATCTTCTGGGAGAGGTTTCGCCCAGTAGAATTCCTTGGAAGTAAAGACTTTGATGACTTCTTTGACTGGGATCAGCGAGGGGTCAGTCGAGATGAGAAACTCATCTCGTCTCCATGACTTTTGTCGTAGCTGAGTTGCTGCGGAGGCCATTTTGTGAATTTCAAATGAAGTTGGTGATGTTGACTTGGAGTTGAGAGCTTTAATGGTCTGATGTGACTCGGATGGGCCCACCTGTTATGTTCCTGCACTAACCCATTCTGACCAAGCTAGATGCGGCGCAGGGCATCTTCATTTTCCAATCGCTATTTCGAAAGAGCATGGTTTCGAATTTCAGTCAATATAAGAATTTGTCATTTCTCATGGCTACAAACACTGTTAGCAAATTGCCAGTACCATGAGTCTAGATACAAACTCAAAGGATAGAAGTCGGTTAGGGTGCGGAGTCCGTGTAAGTATGAACAGCTCAACAGTATTCGAAGAGGCAAGTATTATGACTTCACTCTGGCAATGAGAGGAATTCCAGTTGGCGAAAGATTGAACCCAAGTTGTTGAGCAATTCAAGCAATCAAAAGCCTCAAGATAACGTTGTTGAAGTTGCTATCCTGACTAAGCCCCCAGGATCAGATTGCGCCATCGTTATCAAGATTGAGCAAGCAGTCGATCAACATCGGAAAACATCTTCCCCTCCACAGCGTGGCATCTCATGCGGAGAAGTCAATCACGACATCGCTATCTCCATTGATATGTCAGCATATAAATGTCGCGCATATATATCAACTTGACTATCTTCTTCCAGCACTCATTTCGAGACAATAACTTACACCTAGACTTATAAACTTGGTCAAGATGCCTTCTGCCGTTTCAGACATTCCTCAGTACTCCTACGTCCCCGAGACAAAGGAAGATCTCGACTGGGCAGACTGTATGTCTCTCCACATCTCCTCATATCCACCCCGCATCTAACTTGAGTCTTGCAGTGGCAAATATTGACCTCTCCAAATACGGTACTCCCGAAGGAAACGCCGAACTCGCCCAAACTCTCATCGAAGCAATCCGCACCAAAGGTTTCTTCTACGTAACCAAATTCGATATTCCCCAATCTGCCATCGACAGACAATTCGCTCTTGGTAATGCCTTTTATAACCTCCCCATCGAAGAGAAGCTCAAGTATGTTCCTGATCTTGATGCGGGGGAGTATAATGGGTACAGACCTGGTGGGCGAAGGATTCTGTCGGGTGGTGTGAAGGAGAAGACTGAGGTTTGGAATATGGCCAGTAAGTTGATCTGATACTTAAATGAGCTTGCAGTACTGACTTGTTGTAGCGGATAATGGAAAGATCACGCAGCCTGTACCCAAGCTACTAAAGGACCACATCGATGAAATCACCTCTTTCGCAAAGGTACCCCAACCCATTCACCCTCCTCCCAACCAAACTAACACATCAAGGACCTCCACGAAAAAGTCCTCGACCCTCTCTACCACCTAACAGCCCTCGCCCTCCAAATCCCAGAAGACCACCTCGTCAACCTACACAAATGGGGAACCCACAACGAATCCCACCTTCGCTACATGAAATACGGGAAATTCTCCCCCGAAGAGATTGAAAAGCTCGAAGACGGTCTTTGGTCCCGAGGCCATACTGATCTTGGCTCATACACTCTTCTCTTTCGTCAGCCTGTAGCTGGTCTTCAGATTAAGGATCACAAGACTGGTGATTGGAAGTGGGCTAAGCCTCTTGATGGGAGTTTGACGGTTAATGCGTGTGATGCGTTGAGTTTTCTTACGGGGGGTTATGTTCAGTCTACTATTCATCGGGTAAGCCAAACCCATCCTCTCCACGTAATCGTCTAACATGTTCAGGTATCTGTCCCTCCCAAGGATCAGCGCAACGTAGATCGTCTTGGTCTTTTGTACTTCTCGCGCGCAGAGAATGACCTTGTGCTTAACACGATTGACTCGCCTCTTTTGAAGCGCGAGGGTTACACGCAAAATGAGTTCGAGAGGGGGGGTCATCCTGTCCCAACTATGGGAGAGTTTACGACGTTGAAGCAGACTTGGCAGCAGTCGCAGAAGAGGGGAATTACGTATGATGAGCTGGAGGGACAGCAGATTCTCCCTGGATTCCATGGAAGGAGTTTCAAGTAGTTCGCCTTTGGGGAGCAAGAAATCTCAGACCATGGTATATATAAGATAAACTTACGCAGAATTGCCCAAGTCTTTTTATTATTTAGGATGAAGATCCCAAGGCCCCTTTTGTGCCCTGGTTTGTTTAGCTCAAAGGGGCTGAGAAACGTCTGACTCGGATTGCAAATAGCGCATTAGCACATAATTCCTTGTATTCCCACATCACCATTAACAAATGTGCTTCTCTGTTTTTGGTGTTATATGCAACTCCATGTAGTATTCCCTACCGTCTGCGAACCTTGTTATCACCACAAGTCGACAACCCATACACATGCCCATCAGAACCCGTTGACTCCACCCACTTGGCAACATCAACATCCCGCATCCCACTACCCGCCACAGTCTCTACCACAACACTCGTCTCTGGCGAGATAATCTGCGACACAGCATGCCATGAATTTCCCAGAATAGAACTCTTCGTCGAAGCCATAAACATGATAATCGTGATCAACGTAAGAATCAAGTGCAGTACAACACCAGACAGGATAATTATCAAGCCTGTCCACTGATTCGGAATGATAACCTGTTTCACGTTGATCGTAGAAACAGAGTGTTGTTGAGTGAAATATGGTAGAATGTCGTGGAAGATCATCTGGTAGAACCGAAAGAATAACTCCTGGACAGCTCGTGCTGGATCATCCGTTTCCTGGAGAACACTCTGAAAGAGATGCGAATGTTCCGGGTGTGCGGGCCAATTCGCTACGGTGTCGAACCACCCTTCCAAAGCATCGTTGTTGAAGGTCCATCCGCCGGAGATACTGTAGTCGAAAAGACTGAAGTGAATCATTTGGTAGACCCATTCATCCCAGTCAGCAACACCTGTATCTGCCATAGAAGCTGGCCCCGAGAGTACTTTCAGATCTAGAATGCCTCTTGCTTCAGTATCTAAGGGCGATACCCCGACGCCGAGCTGTTTGAGAAATTGCGTGCCGTTCTTGCCCTGTAGTGTTTTCCACTTTGCTATAGACGTGGGTTCAGATGGTATTGCTCTGCCTGTCATGCTGACGTTGTATAAAAGTGGTATGTTCTGGGTAAGAAAGCACACACTCGCTTGGAAGAGTTGAGTACCGTTCTTATTCGTCGCTGTCGTCCATTGACCTTTGCTCGTTGACTTTGCCATTTGCATATCTCGTGGGATCGTCACGTTCGACCACGTGTTCGTAGTCATGTTATACATTGGTCTCAGCTGGGTCAGACTATCGCTTGCGTTGAGGAGAAGTACGGGATGAAAGTTGTACGGATGGCGTGAAAGAGGGTTTGTAAAACTGTCATTTTTGGGGGCTAGTTCTTTCATGTTGAAACTGCAGAACGATATTGGCCAGGATGTTGAGTTCGTTTGGTCCCATTCGTTGTTGATCCGACACGATAGTGTCGCAGGATATGAACCATTGATACTAGGCCCTGACTCCCAACCGGTCGAGGCGTTGAATTCCGCTTGGAGATAAAGACCCTCTGTAGCGTTGCTTCCAGTGTATATATACTCAAGTGTAGCGTTGTTAAACGTCGGTGCTACACATGCTGTCCTCATGTTGGTGACAATCGTAGGTCCAGAGTAATACTCCAGCGAAGTTCGATTATCAACATTTGCCATCGGTATCATGGCTCGATACACATCCCCAGTGTCGGCTACATCCTTAGGCGCAAGTCTCTGACTCGAAGGCCTTGTCTCTGCAAATCGCCAGTGTGCTGACGGCTTAGACTGCCAGTAAGATACACCAGAGAACACAGCTGTGTCCTTAGATATATCGAACCCCACATAGATTGACTCTGAGACCATCGGCGCAGCGATCGGAAGCGCCTTAAAGTCGAAAAGCAAGATCGTCGACGTGAAAGTCATGGCAAGACTTAGGATGAAACTCAAGAGTAATATGATGCAGTGGAACAAGGTCTTCCTGTTGCTTTTCGTGATGAGGAAGATATCCCACGGACTTGCATCACAACTTGAGGCTCTGGAGATTGACAGCCTCGCTAGATCAGAGATTCGACAACCCGCGGTTTCAAGAACAATGGCTGCCATTGACGCAGCAGCGAGACAAGTCTGCAAATCCATCGATACTCGTATTGCAGCAGAGCAGAGCGTTGCTACCTGCGCTGCGTAGTTGTCAAAAACAATTCTGTCCCATTCTTTGCCTCGGGGCTGTCTGTTGCGGACTTTCTCGGCGCCGTGCCAGAGATAAACGAGGATAGCGCATGAGGCGATAATGACGATTGTGCCGAGGATTATGATTGTCAATCCTGTTTTGCCAAGTCTTCTTTGCAATGGTTGACGTTTTGCTGGTCCTTGGAAGCCTGTTGGGGCATTTTGATGTATGAGACGTTGGCTGTCTTCGAACTCTGTGTTCGTTTGATACGGCACAGGTTTTCCGGTGGGGAAGTAACCGTAACTAGACGGATCATTGGGGTTCATAGCTGGATGATACGTCGAAGACCCATGTATTCCCATCTCGTAAACGCCCTGGTGGACTTGGCTATACTGCGCCATGATGACTCCCTTTCCCTTCAATCTGACAGGAACTTTGATGCAAAGTCGACAGGGGATTCATGCGCTGGGGGTAGGGACCAGGATATCAAACCAGCTGTTCTCAAGGGCAAACTCAATGGCATGCGTGAGGCTGAATCGACCAGTCTAGCTAACGCCATTTCTTTATTTTAAGCTTATTCTGGTAGTACAGCCAAGCGCTGCTTGTCCAATAAAGCCTCTAGTATTTTCAGCTGGCTCAGCCATTTCTTGGCTTTGGACAAAATTGGACAGACGTCTGCTCCGGTTGGGTTATGTCGCGCGTGATCACGATTGATTTGGGGGCGACGAGGGGAGGCAAGAAAACTTGGGATCTCTGATCTAAGTGACAAAAAGACCTAGATAAACTTGATATATCTTGGTAAGGCTTTGGACGGGTCTATTTTTAACACCCTAATTCAATGTCGAAACTTTTCTTACTTCCTGAGAGGTGGTCTGGGGATGATCCCCGTCGCTTACCGGAGGTTTGGGCGCCACTGAGGCGAATGTTTCAACGCTGGAGGGATGGTTTTGTTAGATAACACAGCAGTTATACTTAGAGCATCTTCTAACGAAATCAAATGCATAGCCCTCGCTTTATATATGATAGAAATTATATAGTCAACTATTTACCCTGCGGCGGCTTGTGATGGTGATCCCGCACAGGAGAATCGGTGGCAGTTCTGCAAATCAAACCTCAGCATCCAAGATTACATGCTTCAGCACATCGGGCGAATAACCTCGGATTCTCGCTCAGGCATGAGATAGGTTTTTTGAATGATTGCGAGAGAGGCGGAGGGAGTGTGCGAAAGAATGAAACCCAGGGCATTCATTATTTTGACCTCAATGACTGGCCAACAGCTGAACAAAAATTGTTAAATGAGCCGGGTAACCCTGTCACTGTGCAAAAGGGGTCGATGAACATCCGTGGGTCTTCTGTTATTGATGTTAACTATGGCTTTTACACTGTTCGTCTCTTCTTTTCAACTTGACTCAGCTGGAGTGCTCTAGCCCAATCGGTTGGGTCCGCGAAGATGCTCCCCTCACTCAAGTCTCAGATCATTGAGCTCCGACAAAGTGTGTCAATTGCATGGACAACAACCCCTCTGAAGCAGGTCAACTAAGTATAACATAATTTACAAGCTTTCATCTGATTATCAGCTTTGCCTACTCTGTACGCATCAATCTCCCAACAGCAAGGCGCTTTATTTCTACCACTGCTGCGTAAGCGAGATCCATAAACGATGCAAACTTTTATGTGGCTGGCTGAACATGTACTGCTGAGTAAGGTCTGGACCGGTCTGGTTGTCTGGGCTGACTCTTGTTGGTTGTTGGTTCTGATGTTGAGCTTTAATTGGTTCACGTAAGCGAATCATTGGGGCTTGCTTTTATGTTCCCCTTTTCCAATCTGCTCTCGTCTGATGAAACTCACCCATATTGACTGCCTCCCGACGAATCGGCACTTGCTCCTGCATCGCTTCCCCTTGCTTCTGTAAGGGATGTACTAGGAAATGTCATTACGAACCCCTGCTTTGGTTGAGCTTGTCACTTGAAGCTCCACTAACTAATGCATGATATATCCAAGGGTCCCCTGGCAGCTGAGCGACGGCTGGACGAGCAGAAATCATCACTCAGGTGATTCTGAAAATCCGCGAACATACTTTCTATCTGCTACCAGTTCTAGTGATCAGTGTTAAGTAGTCATCAAGCTCCAGTAATAGACAAGAGATGAAAGCATACCCCTGTTACATCCAAATGGGATAGAGCAATCGCTTCTATTTTGTATCACCTCTATGTATTGAGAGCGGAAAAGGGAATGCTCATGTATCGTAACACTGGGTCTTGCAAATCTCTGCGGAATAAGCCCGCCGATCTACCCCTAACAGCCCTATCATATAACCGTAATATGATTGACGTTTGATCAACAGGTCCAAAACCCCTTGTCACACTGACGCAGGTACGACAACCGCCCTGCCAACAACACGCGATATTTCCAAGACTATTGCCAATAGCCCCAACACCATGGACATCTCAGCCCTGGTATTCGAAAAACACAAAGGCCACCAACACATAAGCTTAATATAGCAGAAAAGCAAATTTCTAAGAGGCCTGTCCTTCGGAAATAGCGTCAGGATGCCAAGAATCTAGACACAATGGATATAAGGGGGTTTCTCTCCGTGTTGTCTGCTGAATACTCATCGCGCTTTCACTCCTTTTCGCGCAGTCACTCGTTTTTGTCACTCTTTTGCCATGTTGTTTCATGAGGTGTTTCTGGTTGCGGCTGCGGTTGCTACAGCCTACGCTGGGCCATGCAAGCCTGTGAGTTCCAAGGCGTCTGTCTCTTCATCTGCCGACGCCAGCATTCCTTCTACAACTGCTTCGGCTGAAGTCTCAGATGCGACCCTTAGTGCCACTTCTGGGTCTTCTGGTACAGTGACCATCGGCTCTGAGACAGTCACGTCTGAGGGTTCTACCACGTTGGTTAGTCTACTGTCCAGTTCTGGATCTGTTTCTGGAGGTCTCTCCACTTCCGAAAGTGGTTCTCAAAGCAGTGGCGTGGTGGTCTCAACCAGTGGGACAGAGACACTTGGTTCTTCTACTGATACTACTGTCACTGATACAATGACCTCGGAGGGTATCACGACTGGTGCGACCGACGTTGGTACAACGACTGAGCCTACTACCGCGCCCACTACCGACGGTACCACCGATGCTGCTGCAACTGGCACGACTACGACCGAAGACACAAGTGGGTCTGCCACTCAGACAACAACCGACACTACCGAGCTAGCCAGCGGTGCTACCACTGAACCATCGACAACTCAGCATACGACGACCGAGGGTACAACCACGGATACAACCGTGGCACCAACGTCCACATCTGAGTTCTGTTACGACAATGCATATGTCATCTCAATGCTAGCCTTTGACCCAGTTGCCTCTCCTTTCTGTGTCAGCTACCTTTCCATGACCACGCATACCATGTGAGTTCCCAGCCTCGACAAACCTAGAACATTCGCTGATCCCATTGCAGCACTGACTATGCAACAATCGATCCTACAAACGTGTACCAAGTGGATGTCGCCACCATCACCGCCGGCGCTCTCACACATATCGAGACCAATTACGACGGCGTAACTGCAATCTTGACAGAGTTCAAGACCAATACCGAGGTAAGTTCCACTTACCATCCTTGAACGGCGCCTACTGACTATTGCGATAGTGGTCAGAAGCTACGGTTACGTCGACGCGATCGATCGAGACAATTACATGCCTTGACAGCGCATACTCCTACGTTACTCCCGTTCCTACCATCGAGCGAGGCACTCCGCATCCAGAAAAGCGTGGCCAGGATGTGGTTGATGTCCCTGAGGCGATACCTTCTGACTGGACTGAGGCTCAAACCTCTGATATCTGCTCCTGTCTTGACATTGAAGAGCCTACAACCCATACAACCGTCCAGATAGTTGAGCCTACGACGTTCATCACAACTTCGACAGATGCTGTGACCCCCATTGAAGAATAGTATGTCTCTTTCATATATTCAACACTGTTCAGGTCTAATCTTAACTAGCACCAAGGTCATCACCACTACATCAGTCAGTGTCTTTACTTCAACAGTCACTGAGAAGAAGACCTCGACTGTCACAGCGTGGGTAGTCGAGACTACCTTTGCTGACAACAACGACATTGCCTACCGACGATTCAACTGTCCTTTCAACGCCAACATCTACGACGATGGTTTCACCACTAATTACTTCAAAGGCAAATCCCCGTTGTCGTCGGGCTACACGGATACCTTCCAATTCAGCACCTGCACAAGTCTCACCCTTTCCGGCAGTGGAACGTTCGATCCCTCTCAGGCAGCACTCCTCTTCAATGCATATTTCTACGCCAAAGAGACAGGAACGTATACATTTACCGTTCCTGATACCATTGACAACTGGGGATACCTTTGGGTCAAGGATGCAGCGTATACGTGGAACACGGGTGCCTGGGCTATTCAGGGGACGCGAACGGGACAGAATTCTGCGTTGTGGAAGGGAGGTTCGTATCAGATTCAGCTGCAGAAGGGTGATGCTATTCCATTTACGTATCTTTGGGCGAATGGTGGTGGTTGTGCTGGAAATGATTTGAGTGTCAAGACACCGAGTGGCAAGTCTATTCCTGGTATGAAGGGGTCGACTGTCAAGGCTTGCCATCTGAACACGTTCACTTAGGTTTGGTGGTTTTATTCTTCATCTGTGTATCTATTATGATAGACTTACTTCTGTACTTACTCACACCTAATTGACGTCTCTGGGTCTCCAGGTCGATCGACGTGCAGTTATAAATTAAAAAGAATTGGTTTACCAAGCCAATATGGCTGGATGCCTCCTGGAGATTATGTATTGTTTACAATGAACAATCGCAAGCCACAAAAAGGAATGGGAGGCGAATTGTCTTGGTTACTATAAGAAATCGCCATGGGGTAAAATCAAGCAAGGATGAAGCAACATAAGTTCAATTTCACCAAGTAGACTCAACAAACTGCACCAAGGAGAAATAAAAGTCCCCATACCTACAATACCAGTCCTAATGCTTCCAAAGCTTGAAAGCCTGGTTCGCACCACCGTGTCCGTCCTTCCAGGTTCAAAAAGGCGCGCCGTTAGCAGGGTTTCCACCAGACAGATCAAGGTACATTGTTGCGGAATCTAAACCACTCATCAACTTCTCCTCGATATATCAAACGTTGAGTTGCTTACCGGACTTGAGTTTTGTCAGTGATATTCCCCACAGCCGCGTCCTGAAGGTCCACTGAGCTGCAAGGTCAGAAACATCACGGTTTCTCTCACATTTGACAGTCTGTCCGTGTCCTATCTCCTTTGTAATTAATCTCTTCTGTTCGTGGAATTGTGTGCTTGCCAGCTGAAAAGAGGACAAAACTGTTGCCCGCGTTCTTGATGATGATGCGGGTGTTGGAGCCAGGGACTGAGAAGATCTCCCAGATCTGGTTGGAGTTCCACTTGTATGATCCATCAGAACTAACAGAGATTAGCCAATAGCATGGTATGTTTGGTGAAGGGGACTTACAGCGTGTACAGGGAGGTTCTGGCCACCTGCACCGTTGAGGTCAAAGAAAACATTCTTGTTACCGCTAGAGCTCTCACTTCGAATATTGCACTTGAAGCGAAGCTTAGGCCCAGGAACAACAGTAGGGCTGGGAGCAGGTGTAACATGACCCTCATGCATATGAGTTCACAGCTCTTTTTTCGCCTTGTCCTTCAATTCAGTCTCCAGATTGCCAAAGGCCAGTGTCTTTTCCTTGATGGTGTTGTCGAGCTCCATGATCTCTTCAGCCTGCTGTGCGATTGTCTTGCTTCGTTTCTCAGCAAGCGTTTCGAGATCCTTGACATCTGCTTGGGCCTGATCGAGCTGGCACTGAGATCGCTCTTGTCCCTCTCCAGCTTTTCGATGGTCTCGTCTTTCTGCTTGCTCTCACCACGGATTTTATCGCCTTCTCGTTTCTCAACTTCAAGCTGTGCTTCAAGGGTGGCGATATGAGCGATGATATCAACGATCCTAGCAGCCTCAGCCTTGAGACGAGCTTCAGCAGCTGTAAGATCAGTAGTAGCCTGGTCAAGCTTCTTCTGGACCTCCGCCTTGGAAGCTCGCTCGTACTCAAGTTGGAAAACCAGTTTCTCCATAGCCTTGTGGTCCTCAAGGTCATGGTTCTTGGTCTTGGCGATTTCTTCGTCTCTCTTCTTGAGATCAGCAGCATGAGCGGTTTGAGCGTCGGCGAGTCTCTTGGTTAGATCACCAGTCTTGGCTTTTTCGCCGGTGAGATCATCAATGAGCTTCTTGATCTCCTTTCCGAGCTTGTTGTTCTCGATAGTAGCAGCATTGAGCTGTTCGCCTCGAGCATGGAAGTCGGCATCAAGGGCTTTGAATCACTGCAATCATTAACTAATGTCATGGCAAGTCAATGGCGACTACTTACATCCTCGGCATACTTGTCTGGATAACCATCCTGATCGGCAAAAGCGATTGTATGTCGCAGAGTGCCAATGAGGTTCTTGGGGAAAGGAAGCGGCCCAAGTATACGAGGGAGAGATGGTTGAGGGTAGCGAAGACGGACTTCGGCCTCGGCCTTCTCGGGAGGAGAATACTCTGGTGGTTTCCGGCCACTAAGTAATGGTTAGCGTTGAAATGAGTCTGCGACCTTGGACTTACTGGGAGTGGCGAACAATCAGAGCGAACAGAGTGTACTCGCCAAGATCTTGGTTCGCTTCGGGGCCCTTCTTGTGGACAGCAAGCTTCTCCGTCTTCTCATCCCAAGTACACGTAATATCGTAATACGAATGATAAGAAAACCTGACGCCTACTCAAGCACCAGACAGCATCTTCGGGGACTCAGCGCGAAAGGATGGGGACTTTTCAGTACCAGTGTCATCATGATTCTACTGCCAAAGCGAGAGAACAGGCTTTCCATCACCAAACCCCTCAGGGACGATGAAAATGCTCATCTCGTCGCTGGCATACTTGGACCACTAAATCTTGCCGGTCAAGATTAGCAGCGCCAGTGGCCTGCTCACGCTTGGACTGCCAGTTGCGCTTGAACGACATACTGCTCTTGGCGCCAGCAGGGTTTGACATGACAACGTCGAGCTTGCCATAGAGGTGATTTCCCAACTATAGTAGGATGCCTTGGCTATGAAGGTGTCATCGCCGCTGGGGGTCTTGGAGACTTTTTCGACGGCGGACTTTTGGAAGAAGTTGGCTTTCTTGGTGCCCTGAGTATCTTTGGTCCATTGGGAGAAGAGGTAGGCGGTATCGCCGACGCGGACCAGACCGTCAGGCAGGATGATAACGAAGGTCTCGTTATCGCCATAGGACTTTCAATCGAGACGGCCTTTGTAGACGAACATTGCGATGAGTGAGAAGGTAAGGTTTCTTGAAATATAGAAGAGCTGGTTGTTGGAATTGAAGGGCTGTTGCTGATGAGGATCTTGAGATATGGCACGACGAAGAGCAAGAATATATAGTCAAACCTCAGATCCCGTCCACCTCCCGATCATATTCGAAGCCTTCTAAGTGAGTTTGGAGTTCTTGGATGTCTACTTTCCGATTCTTACCCGTTTCCTCTGTAATTCATTTCAATAATTCTCTGCATGTTTTTGCCTCTCACCAGGTAAGAAGTCTAGTGGCTACCTGAACATAAGGACACGATAATTTCAAACTTGCAGTCTTGAAGGGCAGATGGAGTCAATATCACAATCGAGCACATTTCTCGGCGTGCATGCTCTGTGATATCGAACGCCTGGCCGTTATCAGGATAATGAAATCGTGACTAAGACTCAAGAGTTGAATCCTGAAGAACTAGGTCAAGCATACAGCACAGGGTTTCGGGATTATGTTAGTCTAGCATTGAATTTGCGTACCCTAGACAACACCGATCACAACGCTACACGGCTTCAAAATCAATAATACTATAGTCAAATCTCAAGTTTCAAAATTGCAAGGTTAATAAATTAGAAAGCTGGCAATTTGTCTTGAATGCTAAGCCTATCCAATCTACTAGGCACAAGACTGAACTAAACCTAATAACAAAAGAGAATCTCCTAATAATTAAGCAGCCTTAGTAATAGCACTTTAGACTTTTTCCCTGACACCTATCTTCCCCTCTATGTTATGTTTCTCCTAAATTCCAAAGGGCTCTTGTTCTATTTATTGTCTAAGTTCTTAGTTAATAAGTACTAGGCCCAGTATGTATTCCATCCACTCGAAAAAGAATCAGTATATTGCTCCCTCTTTATCATGTTCAAAACAGCTGCAGCTATTAACATATGTTATCTACATTCTCCAAGAACATCAGAAGGAGTCTCGGTATATCATTTAGTTACTTTTGTTGAAAGCAGTCTAGCCCGAGGCCTTCATAGTCATTCATAGGAGGTACTGATAACTCGGTCAAGATGTGAATATCGGTGAAGACAGATGAATTGACATTTTGGTGACCAAGGATAATCTGTCCTAGACCCATATTTCAAGTTACCGATGTTTTCATTCATTGGATACAGATGCGCCACAGCTGACAGCAACTGGGGCTGTGGGTCACCGATGTTGGTTCTTATTGGTTGTAACCACAAGGCCTTGTCTCAGTACTCCCTCTATTCACGGTATAAGAGAGAGCACAATGCCATCAGTTGCAATCCCAGACAACAACGAGCAGAACACTCAATTCATTTCTCACTATGGACCCGGACGATCCAGATCGCCATGTCGCCGAACCCACTTCTCTCACTGGTGCGATTGCGGAAGCAGAGTTGGCCTCTGGTTCCTCGCAGCAGGTCGAAAATAACAGCAGCTCAAACTACATGGAAAGTCTGGATCTATCTCTGCTAGGATCACCAGACTTTGATTTTTCATGCCTCATGGACCTTGATGAGACAGGAGAAGCTACGCAAGAACCAGAACAGCTAGGTTTGTGGCATTACGTTCTCCTGTTTATGAGTCTCAAACTTACACGAGCCACGACGCTGGTTCGGAAACAGATTCCATGATGCTCGATGCGCCCGCCTTTGAAGCTCCAAGCGGTATGGATGATCTTACCGTGACGCAGATTTTAACGGGCAATGTATTTCATGGTAGCGACCACCCGGGTACCAATTTGTACTCTGTCCATGACGCTCCTCAACATCAAGGCTATATTCCGCAATCCCAAGTTGGCCTTGACACGTTGACATCAGAGAATTGTCAGTTCTCTTCGGAGACCTTCAAAATATTTCAAAACCCTCCAGGTAATACGTCTATTGATCAAGATCGCCGTCTTTGTAAGCTAACAGTTCAATGTCTAGTTGAGTCTTTCGCCTATCCTGTCGAGATGACCCGTATTATGCCCGAAGCGCCCCAGTCATCCGGATTTGGGGACCAGAGATTTATTCAGATGAACGCACCTCCGACACAAGTTCAGGTTCCTTTGCCACGACCAAGCCGACCAAGACGTCGAGGCCCACTCACGAGAGAACAGGCAGAAGGGCAGGCTCTCGCTCGCGAGAATGGAGTTTGCATCCGCTGCCGGCGAAATAATATCACGGTAATACATCACTATTTCCCGGCCGGTTTCGTGGGTGAAGGTTATTCACAAAAGTCGTCTTAGTGTGTCGGGGGAATCCCATGCAAAGCGTGTTTGGGTCTTCGCAAGCCTCGGCTCTGGAAAGTCCCATGCACCAAAGCCCAGTTTCTGGACATTATAGAGTCAGGATCATTCTTTTATAGTAAGTAGGAATATTTCGAGTTGCCATATGTATAGTCATTATATCGAATCGCCTTATCATCATTGCCTTACCGCGTTACTGATTTAATTAACTCAGAGCCATCAATGAATGAAGCATTGTTCACGGAACGCCTAGTTGAAGAAATGGCAACAATGGCCCTGGCGTTCGCTAGAGACATGTCAAAGGGAGATGGCGTCTCCCCCAAAAACATCGATTTCCCATGGACAGTTGCCTTTGAAGGATTACGCACAATCTGCTTCCCTGATGGACGGTACCAAAAGCCTAGGATGTACATGGTGAGAAAGACAGAAGCGCAACTACTGAAAGCCTTTCCTATAGATACGGCGGGTTCTCCATGTCTTCTGGTTGGCAACAATCGATTAAAATGGACAGTGAGTTTGATACAATGTCGAGAGCATTCCCAAATTGACATTCTTCAGCGGGCAGTCGCAGCGTTCTGTGGCGACCGATGCCTCGAAAACCCATATGAGGAGGACCTAATCATAGATACTCGCAGAGCCAATGATAACGGCAATCCCCTTGAAGTGTTTGTAAAGACCTCATGGCTCCTTTCTCGATACTTGGAGCTGCATCTGTTTCGATATCTTCAGAATGCCGCGAATAATCCTAGCAAGGACATTCACGAACAGAGGAGTTTCGCTTACAGTGCTCTGTACTTGTTGGGTCACAGCTTCTCCACCTCATCGAACAGGATATCAGGACTGGTGAGGATTATCGCAAGAAATCGCATACTAGGATACTGACATTGCCTTTTGCAGAACATCAGTGATGAAATGTTCAAGGGCTCCATCACAGACCACTTAGACCGGGAACGGCGCGTCCGCCTCGCATTATGGGTTTATGTCTCCATTACTGTTGGCCAGCTTCCCTCTGAGGCAAATTTTTGGAATAACTTGCCCAAAGAGCTCAAAGCCTTCCGCGGAGGTCTCCCAAAGAAGTTTCGAGAGAGCTTTGACGGATTTGACAACAGTCTACGCATGAATATGAAGATTGAACTAGACTCCAAGACAAGATTCTTACAGAAGCTTGACTCTGGCCAGCAAACCCAGGAACTTATAGAAAGACCTTCATCATCCTCGGACATCGACCCCGATCGCAGCCTCTGGCAACGTATGGTGGAAAATACCACTCAAGGCATTCATGAAATTTGTCATCTCCATTCTGGAGAGTTGGCCTCGTTGGAGGACAGAGTCAGCGAATATGAACAAATCGAAGCCGAACGACTTTTTCTCCCCACAGACCACGAGCACTTCGCAAAGGCTGCTGAGAACGCTTTTGGGACAATCCTGGCCTTGGCTAGGTTGCCAATAAGATCCCAGCAGACGCTGCCTATACAAGATTGCGAAGTACTTCGTCCCTCATTCCTCCGTTTTCAGGCAGAGTTGCGACGGTTCATGGGAAGACTTTCAAGTGACATACTTCCTTGCGGAATGTCATTAGTTTGTCTCGCAGAACGTCCATTTGTCCTGTATGGGGCTGATAATATGCACTTGAATCGCTGGCAGGAGCTTGAAGATATGATGGGGGGAGGAATTTACCTCGTGGGTAACACTATGCATCCACCCACCAGAAAAACTTCTCATGCATTCTTGGACATCGCGACTGTTGCAGATATTGGTAGTGATGAACAGTTTCTCCGCCTCAAGAGACTCTTACAAAAGAATGGCTCGTGGTTACGCCAAGTTTGTGGACAACTCAACGGACTTGTGCAGGCAATGAAGCAAATAGGTCATGAACTCCACGAAGAGAAAAGGTTACGAGCATTTCAAATAATCCTGCGACGAAAGGTTCGAGAAGTCTTTGGACATCATGAAGCGTCATGCAAACCTCACAGTCTACATTGCCAAGATCCAAGAGGTATATTCTTCTTCGTCATGTTCAAGAAACATGTGCGAAGTTTATTTGGGAGTGCTCGAGGATGGAGAGGCGTGCTTTATGAGAATTTCCAATCTATCCTTGCTCGCACGATGGAGGAAATGCACGATGGACATCTTCAGCATCAAAGCTGGAGTATCATGGGGCGTGTGATCTTCACACTATTAAAGATGACCGTCCAATTCAAACTTTCAGGCTCTGTACTGGCCATGGCCTGGCCCCAGTCGCGGTCTGAGGACGAGAGCTCTCGTTTGGAAATGCTGGATGCAATGGGAGAAGAGCTTTTATACGAAACAGAATCCTTCCGGGACTGGATGGAATGCCAACTACGCAATGATTTTGGGTGGGCATTGGAATGGAAATGAAACTGTTAAAGTGCTTATATTGTCTGCTGGAAATTAAACATCAAAAATATAAAAAAAAAGGAGTTTAAGTTTCTAGATAGAGCTTTAATTTACCTAGTAAAACCCAGAGAGGAAAACCTCATATAAGAGTGGCAATGTCGCATTCTTTCGCTTCCTGTTCAGGTCAGAGATCTCATCAATAAAAGATTCTGTGATATTTCGTGTGATCTAACTCAGCCTCGCACCTCCTACATCGTTTTATTAAGTCTCTACAAGATTCCATGTCTCACCGCATAATGGCTTTAATGCTACCACGGAATAATGATATGAAATTAGTCTACTTAACCTAAACGCCATTTTGTCTATTCTATTAGCCCAAGTCTATCCCAACCAAACAAAGGAAACCCTCCCCATATCAAGCAGCCTCAGCAACAGCATACCCAACCCTCCCCCCAACATCCATCATCCCCTCCCTCTCATGCC